GGAAAAATTTACATAAAAATGTATCTATTAGCCACCCCACACCCCACGGGCTGAGATGCAGACCTTGTTGAAGGCTCAGCTGTGACCACTGAATGGCAGGCAGGTTGCTGCGGTGCCACACTGCGGGGACTGGCCGGAAGGCAGCCCTCTCGCGCTGGGGAAAGCTGCTCCCAGCGATGTCCCCCTGGAGGCACTCGGCCACGGAGCCACCTGCGGAGCTGCTGAGGGCTGCTGGCTGCTGTGCAGGGCGGCCGCAGGGCCCTGGCTCAGCCTCGCCCCCTGCAGGATCCAGCTGAGATGACACCAGGACCAGGAAGCGAAACTCCTGCCTCCTGTAACGTCTCTCCAGCGCCCTCTACTGACACAGCTGCAACGCCAGCTGGCAACGTCCTTAAAGGACTCGGACTCCTTTTTTCATAAAGCGCTCAAAAGGAGTGAATTCGGGGTAGAGAGGAACTAGGTCAATAACCAACATAAAACCCATCTGGCAAATAAGTCCAGGACTTTTACTCTTGCAAATCTAGCCTTGGTTTCCTTGTTTTTAAACTTGAAGTTCCCTTTTATTATAATATTTCACTATTATGTTTAAACCAAGTGCGTGCTGAACTCCTCTCGTCCATTCTTCCCTCTTATTACTTTAGTGGTGCTGTTTGCATGAGTGTTTGTCAGTCTTTGGGAAGAAACTGTGGATAAAAGTTTGTTCAGTTATTTGTTCAAGCCTGTTAGAAATTGTTCCAGAGGGTTTTTGTTGTTTTTGGTGTGTGTGTGTGTGTGTGTGTGTGTGTGTGTGTATGGTCAGCCTATTGCCATTTGTGACTCACCTTATGGTTCCCTAATGAAGTTAAGTGTCCTAGTCTGTTCCGGCTGCTATAACCGAATACCATAGCCTGGGTGTCTAAAAACAATATGTATTTCTCGCAGTGTCGGAGGCTGGGCAGTCCAAGCAGCAGATTTGATGTCTGGTAAGAATGCACTTCCTAATTCACAGCTGGCCGTCTTCCCCAGCATCCTCACATGGTGGGAGGGGCGAAGGAGCTCTCTGGGTCTCTGTTATAAGGGCATCAAGCCTATTCACGAGGGCTCTACTCAGGACCTAATCACCCCCAAATGCTCACCTGCAAGTAGCATCACATTGCAGATTAGGTGTTTTTAAAAAATATATTTTTTATTTTAGAGAGGAGGGGAGAGGGAGATAGAAACATCAATGATGAGAGAGAATCATTGATTGGCTGCCTTCTGCATGCCCCCTACTGGGGTGGAGCCCACAACCTGGGCATGTGCCCTGACCGGGAATCGAACCCGGGGCCCTTCAGTCCACAGGCTGACACTCTATCTACTGAGCCAAACCGGCCAGGGCCAGATTAGGTTTTAACATAAACATTTTAGGGTGACACAAACCTTGTGTTTTCTTTTTAAATATATCTTTATTAATTTCAGAGAGGAAGGGAGGAGAGAGATAGAAACTTCAATGATGAGAGAGAATCATTGATTGGCTGCCTACTGCACACCCCCTACTGGGGAACGAGCCAGCAATCCAGGCATGTGCCCTCGGCCGGAATCGAACCTGGGACCCTTCAGTCCGCAGGCTGACCCTCTATCCACTGAGCCAAGCCGGCTAGGGCACAAACCTTGTTTATAATCCCAAGTAAAAGCAGTAAATCTTCCCAGGTGTCTCCATTCTGTTCCCTTCAAGAACCTACTTTTGTTTGTCTCCAAATCCCTTGCCTTGGCTGCAAGATCTTACGTGGTCTGGCCCTTGCCTACTTCTCGGTCCCACCGCTCGCCCTGTCAGTCATCTCCAGCCACACTGTCCTTCAGGCACCAAAGCTGGTCTGCTTCACAGCCTTTGCATTTGCTATTCCTTCTACTGAAGCATCCTTCCCTCCAGATTGTTATTTTTTAAAATAGAACTTTTAATTGATTTTTAGAGAGACAGGAAGTGAGAAACATTGATGTGAGAGCAAAACATTGATCAGCTGCCTCCCACATGCCCCCTACCAGGGATCGAGCCTGAAATCTGGGCATGTGCCCTGACTGGAAATCGAACTAGCACATTCCATGTATGGGAAGTCACCCAACCAACTGAAGCACACTAGCCAGGCTCTTCCCCCGAGGTTCTTACACTTCATGCCGCCTGTTTCTGATCTCTGATCAAATGAGTAAAGCGTAGTTCATCAAAAGGACTTATAACTGCTATATATATATTTATGTCCCTAATAATAAAGTTACAGAATGCAAAAGCAAAGATGATATAAAGACGAGACAAATATACAACCATCGTTGAAGATGGTAACACTTTTCTCTTACTAGATAAAAAATTTGTAAGGAACTACTCACATGCTGCTTCTAAGGTTGAAAAGTAAAAGGATGAATAAAGATATAAAAAGAGGATTACCAGAGGTAAAATGGGGCAGTATATAATAAAAGGTTCAGTTCATCTGGATAAATGTATATGTTCCTAGTAACAGCACTTGTGAATACCATAAGCAAAAATCGATGGAACTAAGACAGTGGTTCTCAACCTTCCTAATGCCTCGACCCTTTAATACAGTTCCTCATGTTGTGGTGACCCCCAACCATAAAATTATTTTCGTTGCTACTTCATAACTGTAATTTTGCTACTGTTATGAATTGTAATGTAAATATCTGATATGCAGGATGTATTTTCAGTTACAAATTGAACATAATTAAAGCATAGTGATTAATCACAAAAACAATATGTAATTATATATGTGTTTTCCGATGATCTTAGGCGACCCCTGTGAAAGGATCCTTCAACCCCGAAAGGGGTCACGACCCACAGGTTGAGAACCGCTGAACTAAGAGAAGAAAACCCAGAGCCATCACTGGAGATTTTACTTGATTGGGATGCTGCTAAAAGTAGTAAACGAAAAAATTTATAACCTTGCAATACATGTATTAGAAAATAAAGCTTGAACATTGATGAACTATTCATATAATTGTCAAGAAGTTAGAAAAGAAAAAAAAAGCCACCAAAATAAAAGCATAAGCTAGGAAAGAAAAAAAAAGTTTAAATATGCAAAAAGTGGAATAATACAGGGACATTTCAAAGGATCCTCAAAACATTGTTTGCTGTTTTTTGATTTCACTTTGTTGGTAGAACATTAAATTTTTATAAATTTATCCTTTTCTTAATAACTTGTCTTTTAAAGAATGTTCAATTTTCCAATGATGTAAGCATATTCTCCTATTTTTACATTTCATTGTTGATAACCCTGATGCATTTGGAATTTGTTAGTCTTGAGAGACAGGAAGTTAAAATGGTATCTTCTCCAAATGTGGCCAATTGTCTCAATGCCATTTAAAAAAGATTAGAAATGCCATCTCTCACCATATGTTAAATTTACCTACAGATGGCATTCTGTCTCTGGTTCTATTCTGTTCTTCTGATGTATTTATCCATTTCTGTATAAATATTTTACAATACTGATCAATAAAAGTCCCTCCCACATCTTTTTCCCCCTTTACAATTTTTTTTAAAATATATTTTTTATTGATTTCAGAGAGGAAGAGAGAGGGAGATAAAAACATCAATAATGAGAATCACTGATCAGCTGCCTCCTGCATGCCCCACACTGAGGATTGAGCCTGCAATCCGGGTATGTGCCCTTGACCTGGAATCGAACCGTGACCTCCTAGTTCATAAGTCCACACTCAACCACTGAGCCATGCTGGCCAGACCACAATTTCTATTATTGTACATCATATCTTGCAAATCCATTTTACTTTTTGGATTGCTTTGGGAGGAGTTGATGGTTTTATAGTATTAGGTTTTTCTTTTCTAGGTTCCTGGTCTGTGTCCATTTTTTTTTTTTCAGGTTTTCTATGTCTTTTGGTAAAACTATAGTTTCCTACACAAAGATCTTTTATACTTTGTGTTAGGTACAATCCTATTTTATAAGCATTGTATTATGTTGTTATTTTAAGTGGGGATTTAAAAAATGTTTTTTTAGTGGGGACAGTTATTGGTTTTTTGAATGTTCTATCCATCTCACTGAGCTTTGATTCGTTCCAAGAGCTAGTCAGTTGATCATGTGTATTTTCCTTAAAGATGGTCAAATTGGCTGAATGTCTCCCCTCTCCTCTTCAGGTGATAACACCCCAGTTCTCAGCATTGGTAGTGGGCTTGTTTTGTTCTAGTTAATACTTTTAGTATTTCACTGTTAAGTAAAATGTTATCACAGTGGGATTGCATCTTATCTGAAAACTCAAATAACTTTAGAACATTTACTTTTCCTAGAAGTTTCACTTTTCCTTGAGATTGCCTCATAAATGGCATCTTTTCCTTCAACTTGTCAATGTAGTCAACAGTATTGACAGTTTTCTAATCACTCATTTTGCTTTTGGTATACCTGGGTTTTAGGTATTGTACCTACATTGTTTACCAACTATCAAACAAACCAATCCATTAAAACTATCATTACCCGGCCATTGTGGCTCAGTGGTTGAGTATGGGCCTGTGAACCAGAAGGTCATGGGTTTGATTCCTGGTCAGGGCACATGCTCGGGTTGCGGGCTCAACCCCCAGTGTGGGGAGTGCAGGAGACCGCTGATTGATGATTCTCTCTCATCACTGATGTTTCTATCTCTCTCTCTCCCTCTCTGAAATCAATAAAAATATATTTTTAAAAAACCACCCTTCTTGGCTTCAAATGAAAAATCTATAAAATGGGTTGCTGAGAGAATCAAATGTTAACATGCTGAACACAGTGTCCACTCCTGCATAAATGTAAGGCATTATTAAATTGCAAGTCAGGTATTTTAAATTTAAATGCATTTATGAATGAAGGTACAATATAAACACATTACACTCTCCAAAGCCATGTAAAACCCGAAGGCATTAAAATTTATTAAATGATGCAATAACAACAGAATTCTTTATTTACAATAGCATTATTTAACATCAAATAAGCAAAGAGCATCAGCAAAGCAATATTAACTTGCATAAATGTATTTAAAATTTCTCTGAATATATCTACCTTTGCATAAACTGCTCACACGAGAAATACAAACATCAATGCAGGTGAACAAGGTGATGTTCAGAGTCAACTCCATTTGGAAAATAAACCACAACCTGAAACACTGTAAGCTTTCTCCTGAAGAACCATAGTTAATATATTGCTTAATTTTACCCTTGTATAATCTTTTCATATACACACATCTCAGATGCAACTTCATGAGGAACTGTACAAATAAAACCCACAAATGACAAAGGGAAAAAAAGACAGTTAAATGTTTGAAGAAATGTATCATCATCACCATCCAACAACATAAAGGTTGAGTGATGATGTACTTATTCAAAAAATTGTACACAATTCACTATACAAATATAATACATCGGACAGCTATGTAGGAATATACAAGACTTAAAAACAGATCTAAGGCATTATGCTAGATTTTAGCATTTTGAGGTTCTTGCACATAGCTTTTACCTGTAGTAAGAAACTTAAAAGATTTTGTTTTAGTCTATAAAGAAACACCAGGGAGAAAATTCTAATTAAAATTGAAGCCACTACAGTAATTTTCTTTTGTGCAGAGAATGCTTTGCTCTTAGGCAGCACACTACCATACAAATACTAGAAAATTTTAAATTCACACCAACAATTAATGGCTTAAGTTGCATTTCAAAATTGATTGTGTATCTTTGGGTTCTACAGTGGATGTGGGCCACCCATTTCATGTGGTCAGCCCATATGAACTCCATTTTTAAACACAGATTAAAAATTGCATTATATAAACTGCAAAAACATTGCTTTCAATTATTACAGGCCATAGGAGATACACGTGGGAAGGGACATTTTAATCTTTGAGTCAAACGAATTCATTGTAGTCAAAGAGCTCACTTCACTTTCCAACTCACCACATTACATGAACATTTAAATGAGTCTTACAACCAAGTGAATGTATGTATACTTTTCACATTATTTGTTTTTCACATTTAGTAATAAAAGTAAAACACTGATTCTTTGTCCTATTAAACAAAAACCAAGGACTCAGTCTAACAAATTTACTGTGTACAGCATGAGAAATACTGATAACGAAGGGGGTCGATTTGGCTTTTGCTTCCACAGTGATCAATATGATCAGAGGATTCCTTCACTTACTTTTCTTCTCTTAATTAGATGTAAAGCAAAACCCATTCATTCCCTGATCTGAGCCATAAGAGAATTTAAACCTCTTTTCCTTCAAAACAGCCATGAATTATTCGAAATGATCAGCTTCACTGGTTTACAGATTTATCTGACTTGGGGTTGACATTAAAACACAGTGGGCAGATGGGTAAACAGTAAAAGATACACAGATTTAAAAAAAAAATATTTTTGGACGTGTTACAGTGAAAGGGGACTTAAAACTCAAAACAAAACAAATCCAGCTTAAACTCCATTTCTCCTTTGTGCTGTGTGAAGTTAAAGTCATTCTAAGTCACATGTTTCTAAAAAGCAACTTAAAACTGGTCACATGACATCGTGTAGGACATAAGCCTTGGCACACGGATTCGGTCACGGAGTTCTGGGCCAACGTCTGCTCGTTTTATCCATCGCAGTTGGGCAACCCAGGGTTTGGTTGAGAAGAGTAGAGCCTGGTGAGGGGGCATGTGGACTGATGGCCCCGAGAAGTGCTGTTCTGGGCCACCTCCCTGTAGTGAGACCCCTCTCAAGTGGAAAAAAGTATCGAAATGCAAATTTCCAGAAAATTTCTTTAGTATGGAGCAACACCTTCAGACTGTCTACTTACCGTTTATCTTTGGGCTACCGGTATATCTCTCTCTATAATCCATCACTTGTACATATAGGGAGAGATATACATATAAATAGGGGTAGTTTGTCCATTGTCCACCCGGCCACAAACAAACAATCAATCAAATTTCAAGGAAAAACCTCTCTGTTCCTAAAAAGCCTGGCTTAGTGAGATATAAAATGCTTTGCTTTTTAGACATCAAAAAGACACCATTCTGAAATTTAGGTAAGAAAGTCTTAGGGGTTGGGGAGAAATAGCTCAAAAAAGGTAATCAGTTTCTTGGTATTGCATTTGTCTGAAACTGACACCAATTAATAAAAGATTATTCCCCTTCCCGCGTGGGTGAGAGAAACAACCACGAAAGTGGCCTGCTCACCACAGGTGGTCTTCCCAAGGTTCATTAAGAAAGAATATAAACATATAAAAATCAAGAACTGGGTCCTACGGCGGCTGCATATCATATAGATTGGATAAATTATTTATGAGCAGAATCACAAGGTTTAGAAAATAAAAAGTCGTAAGTCTACAAATTAGGTCTAATCAAGGCATTGATATCCTTTACAAAACACCTTTAGGAGACATTGCTATGAAGATATCTAATTTAATACTGAAGTACCTCATTTTTGAGTTAATTCCACAATATGTATACCTCACAAAAATTATACAATTAAAACACGTTCTCAACTTAAATTATTGCTTGTTTACATATAAATTGGATTTTATGTACCTTACAAAACTTCGGCTTAGCACTGCTAAAAAACAAAATAAAAAACACATGGCGGAGGGACCCTGGCGTGTCTCTGCTGCTTCAGCGTAAACACGCCAGGACGTCCTGTGTGTGGGTCTGTGTCGCTGGGGACCAGGACAGACACGCTTTGGGAGCAGGTGTCACCAGTGGGATCGGGATCGTGCTGACTCTGCTCCTCTCCTTGCCAGTAAATGCATTTTTCTGAAATTTAAGTTAGCAATTGCTAAGTGGCTGGCAAAACATTTAAGGAAATAAGGGGCTTGTCTGGTTTCTGTTGCTTTTATTGTTTTGTTAAATGAATGAAAGTGTGGGGGGGTGGGGACTGGGGAAGGAAGAGTCAGGATCAGGGAGGAAGAGGAGATGCTAATCCAAGCTGTCGGATCAATCGAAAGGGAACTTAATTTGAAAATGAATAATATTTCTTCTTGATTAATGATTTAGATGAACTTGTTCGGTTTTAACAAAAATAAAAGAAAGGAAAAAGTCCTTGTTACATGAACAGCCCTCTCACGTGCTCCTTTTCATCTGGTCATTAGCTGGAAACTCTTCCCAACTTGGTCTTGAGAGCTTTCTGCAGATAGCGGTCTTCACTCTGTGGGCATCTCTGTCCATACAGCGCTGTCCATGGTGTCTGCCCTGCTTTTATCCCAAATGCAGTTTGATTTTTTTAAAAAAACCCCTTTCTTTCCCCCAGATGAAATCGTAATCTTTTGTACATGACTGATTAGCCAGGGAAAACAAAGCCAGAAACCAGTGTCTGGAACCAAACAGGAACAGAACAAGAGCACGGTTGTTTCCCTTAAATACGTACATTTAAATACATTCAATCTGACATGGGTATGAACTTTGCCTGTCAACATTTACTTCGCAGGAGAGATCTAAGTTGCACTAAGGTGAATGCAGTGAACAGACTGAGCAACTGTCTGGACACAAGCTTCAGGCTGGAGAGAGAGAGAGAGAGAGAGAGAGAGAGAGAGAGAGAGAGAGACAGCTCCTCTTGCAGCCGCCAGGCCCGCGTCTGCTGAGCTCGCTGGGCAGACCTGGCTGGCAGGCCGGTGGGGTCAAAACAAATAGACGCAGCTCTCCATCCCAGACCAGGAAGTGTTGTGAGCAAGTGAGCCCAGTCAGCTGAAGAAAGAAGCAACCAGCTACCTTCAGTGTCAGCAGTATTTCTGCAGAAAAACAGAAAGATCTCTGAATATGTGGTAAACCCGTCATAGAGCCCATCACAAAAAACATCAAAATATTTGCCGTTAAACAAGGTCAGCCCTAAAGGCTGCCTCTGGATGAGTCGCACCCGATTTAGAAGCAGACAGATGGCGCTGTCCCTCAGTGAACACACGATGCTGGCAAAGGCCAGCAGAGCCCACATGCTGTTGAGGGCACTACAACGGTTCCCGACTGCTCCTTCCGATACTGCTGCCCCGGCACGGACCTCCTCGCCGGACCCAATCTCTCCCACCTGCTCAGAAGGGATGAGACTCCCAGCGGCTGAGCTGCCCCTGCCTTTCGACAGCATCTGACCCAGAAGTGACACCACTTTCTTAATCCTTCCTCAGCATCAGCCAGTACAAACCCACTTCCTATCAAATAAAAGGTCTCTCTCTCTTTTTAAAATTTACTTTAAAAAATATATTTTTATTGATTTCAAAGTGAAAGGGAGAGGGAAAGAGAGGGAGAAACATCAATGATGAGAGAGAATCATTGATCAGCTGCCAGCTGCACACCCCCTACTGGGGATCAAGCCTGCAACCCGGGCATGTGCCCTGACCAGGAATCAAACAGTGACCACCTGGTTTACAGGTCAAGGCTCAATCACTGAGCCACAATGGCTGGGCTAAAAGGACCCTCTTAACTCTCCTAACAAGATACTCCCAGGTTCCATGGGTGTGTTCTCTCTGGCAAGCTACATCACCCAGGGTGTTTGCTCCACAGGTACTCTTGCTAGTTTCTGGTTGGTTATGCGCTGACAATCGATTTGAATGGCTGGATACTCAGGGCTGTACACTTGTTATTGTAGTGAGCAAGAACCATGTGCAAATGTTTCTCTGGCTGGTGAAAGTATATCTGTCAATGCTTTTTCTTTGGCTATTGACTATATACACTCTTCCCCAAGTTTTCACTATTTGCTAATATCTCATTAGCAAATATTAATTGAGTACCTACTCTGTGCCAGGTTCTGGGGATATAATCATGACAAGCCATTTCTGGCACTGCTATCAAAACACTGCTGAATGGGCCAGGACGGCAACTAGAGAACAGTATGATCTGAGTTATGTGAGGGGGAACGTTAGTTGCTGTGGGAACATATAACAACTGCTTGCTCCTGGGATTTAGATACCGAGACACAGAATTTTAGCACATCAGGGCCATGAACGATGATCTAGTTTAAGTAAGATCAGGGAGGAAGTCAACCCAGAATAATGGATTTCCCCAGAGCACCTGGGAAAGCGAGCTGGGGAAACTGGCCAGCTCATGTGTTCTAGGAGCCAGAGGTGGAGCTACCTGCCTGGGCACTTACACAATTCGTCCCCCCCACCCCGCCCCCAACCTGAAAAGTGAGCCCAGGACACCTCCGATTATATTTTCTCTTTTAGAAGAACACCCAGTATACTTTTCTTTGTAATGTTTATCCCTAATTTGTGTCACTACATGATTTTGCATGTAAATACTTGAAGGTTCTGACTGAAATAGAAAAAAAAAATCCTTCAAATTCCAGTTAAACTGGGAAAAATGCTAGTGGAGAAGGTTTATATCCTTCAGAACTTTAAGGCAGGGTTCTTTAACACGGACCGACATCAGTAAGCGGCTCTGAGCCAGACTCAGGTTAGTGGCAGAACGTGAGCATGGACGGCAGGTGTTGCTGGTGTGGTGGGCGGGGCATGCCGTCCTAGCTGTGCCACAGAGTGGGGAGTCACTGAACCCTTCTGCACTTAATACACCTTAGAGCTGTGTGGGGATTAAACAAAAGGATGTACACAGAGCGTTTAAATAGTTCCTGGGACATAATAAATGCTCAGGAAACATCAACATCAGCATCATCACCAACTCAAAGCGAATCCTAGTTTCCATAACACTAGTAAATATAAGTAATCACAACTGTACTTTATACAAGAGCCATGAAACTGGGCAGTGAACTCAATTTTAATACGTATAAATATGAAAATATAAAGGAATGCTATAAAAAGTCCTATACATTTTGGTTAAAATAAAATACCTGTCCTTCTCTACATAGTTTTTGGGTAAGTCCACAGTTTTATATACCAGCTCTGCTTGAAGCTATAATTTTAATCTCCATTTATAGATAAATGGAACACAGATTCAATTAATAATGAATCACAGTGGTTTCTAGCTCAGCAAATAGAACCCAATTACCAATAAAAATTCTGAGAAAAGTTCTTTGATTTGCAACAGCACAGAGCACATCACAGCACCTGGGGTAAGTGGCTGAACCCTCTGCGCCCACATCAGCGGCCGGTGACACAGGCAGTGATGTCGCTATTACTCATGGATTAGAAGGGATATACTGTACACAGCCTTCTCTGGAGGAAACAAGAGTGTCCGTGACAGACTGTTCTCTGGCCTTAACATTCAGCATAAACAGAGGACAGATGGGTAAGCCTGACTCAAGAGGGGGCTGGGAGAAACAGAGTGAGAGGGTGCAAGTGGCCCGCTCAGTTCCGAAGGCACCTCTGATGGCGAGCGCCTCCTGTACTACTCAAGTCGCCTGGTGTGATCCTAACGATAACCCTCTGTTCCAGGTCTAGTGGGTGCCCATCAGGCACCGGGGCTCTCGGGGCCCTCCCTGCCCAGCGCCAGCTCTGCCATTAGTCGAGCTTGAGCGTCCCTGCCTCTCCCTCCTGTATCCGGTGCTGCTCGGGGCGGCCCTCCACTCCTAGGATCTGCCCACCACTTCCGAGCTGTGTGGCCTGGGACAGACGACCTAATCCTGAGCTTCACTCTTCTCATCTGAAAATGCGTTGGAGACCACAGGCCATTCCCTCTCTCAGAGGTTCCTCCCCACCCCAAGGTTAAGAACCGGTGCCTGAGGCCAAGGGCTCGGCTAAGGGTTCTCTTCCCTGCAGGATGGCAGCAGAAAGGAGATGAGCTGCTCCTCTCTGGCCTTCTCCAGTGTGTAGCTGTCTAAAACCCGAGGAAAGCCTTTGCGAGGCGGGCAGCAGAGTACAGGACGAAGGGCGCACAAGGAGCTCAGACGGCTGGGTTCACTCCCTGCTGGTGCGGGACCCATGGCAGGGCTGTACTCGTGACAGCACTTGTGTGATTCAAACGAGGTCACTTAAAGCTCAGCGAGAACGGGTGTGCAGTAAGTGCTCAATACCCGCTGGAGCGCCTGTGATTTTGAAGAAGTATGAGGGCTCTGCCTCACCCAGGCCAGGCTTTTCTGTTTGGAGGTGATGCAGCGGCAGAGGGAGACAAGGCAAGTCATCACAGACAGGAGGGGGGACTGGCTGCTGGCCTGGCCCAGGAAGTGCTGCTGGAGCCGTACTCCACCAAGTGGTGGGCCAGCAGCCAGCCACACGGAAAGGTGAAGGAAGGAGGCCTTCACCCCCCCAGACACAATGCGCTCAGAGGTTCAGCCCCTGGCACTTCTGGGCTCAGCTGGCCGTCCTCTGTGGGAGCCTCATCACCAATAACGTTGCCATTCCTGGGAGGTGCAGCCCGGGCTCCAAGCCTCTACTCTGCACATAATCACCCCTGAGCTCCGGGCTCCACCTGGGGAGGTGCAGTGCACAGGAGGCAGGACTGGCATCTGGGAGGCGCCAGCCAACTTCAAACCTCATGCGATGGCACATTTATTCTAAACACATGGTCCATATGAAATAGGCTCCATTTTCTGCTTGAGTTTCTATACCAATCCGTCCACCATTTAGACGAGTTGTGCATCTGGGTACATAGAAGGTAACATCTCCCGGACTCCCACCCACAGGCCTCTGTGCCAGGTGACTGTTTTCTCAACGAGAGACGCCACACAGGCGAGTGCACACACTCTGCCATTAAAATCCACCAACTGCTTTTTAAACTTGAATGATAATCTCAACAAAACCACCCAAGATCCATTTTTTTTTTTGGTAGGAAATTCAACATCAATTCTACATTTTCTCCATTGAGAGGGAATTTTTAACTTAAAAGAGAGTATCTAGTGCTTACATATCCCTTGTGTTAAGAGCCCCCCAGGGCAAGGCTATAAGTACTACAAAGCCCTCGGTTATAGGAGCTATATAAGCACTGATTAGCCTACTGTTTCAAGACTAGATGTTGAACATGGTGATATTACTCTCCTTAGAACAACTGTCAAGGTAACAAGGAAATAATACACAAGATTGTTGCCTAAACAAAATGGAATATAGACAAACATGTAAGCAAACATAAATTCAATGGTTTGCCCTAATATGACTAATTCACCGCCACTTTATGTTCTGCTTTGCTATAATATCATTCCAGGGCAAAATTAGTGTTCTTAATTCATACATCACCATCAGCTCAATTAAAATCAGCTTAAAGGGATAATTACACAGAACCATTGTAAGTCAGATAAAATTAGAAGATATTTTTTAAAAAATCACAAGCATTATAACTATCTTCAATCACTCTGCCAATTTTGGTCTATAAAACATTCATGCTCACTTTACCCAATTCGCACATTTCTTCACTGTTTCTTACCCGTGATGCGTCTCCCTCCTGCTTAATCATATCCATTCCAGGCAGCTGGTTTGAGAAAAGGCTGCCTCCCCTCAGAGCAGGGTCATTAACCTGAGGGCAACAAGACAGGACAACATTTTTAGCGGGACGTCCAGAAGTGTGGTGGGGAACAACCAACCACCAGCCTTCCTCTTGCTGGAATTTAGGAGTAAATAACGAGGAAAGATGACTATGTAAAAATGGTAGTCCTCTATCGTATGGAGAAACATGAAAATAAATACATGTTAATATACTAGCTGCCTTCAAATTAAATTTTATTTGTATTCTGTATAGAAATTCAATAGAGCCCTAGCTGGTTGGGCTCAGTGGATAGAGCATCGGCCTGCAGACTGAAGGGTCCCAGGTTCGATTCTGGTCAAGGGCACATGCCCAGGTTGTGGGCTCGATCCCCAGTAGGGGGCGTGCAGGAGGCAGCTGATCGATGACTGTCTCTCATCATTGATGTTTCTATCTTTCCCTCTCCCTTCCTCTCTGAAATCAATAATATTTAAAAAAAAGAAATTCAATAGAGATGATCATATTAGAAACTTTTTCATATCATTTCATGTTCATTTTGGGGGCTGAATTAGACTAATGACTCATATTTGGGACTTCGAAGACATCTGAAAGGCTCCTCATATCCTTGGTTACTCAGGCAAATTATAGATTAGTCAGAGCCAGTGTGAATATCCAAAACAGAGCTGAATTTGGGGACTCCTCCAAGACTAAGTGAGCTGATCATTAGCATGTGTGACATGTCTTTTACAAACGACAAAGTGAACGTACAGATGCTGATAGAGGATTCTGTCATGAGACACACACTGCAGTTGTGTTTTGGGGGCTTCCAAAATAACTGTGATATTTGAAAGGTTGAAATCCATGCAGAAGTTTCAGAGCCATCGGGACTATTGCAAATGCAGCATTTACACTTGGGTAGGTTGACTAGGACCCATACTAGATTAGACCATCTCAGCAGCCCTCACTACTCCTAGAAAGGAAACCAGGAACCACTAGTGGCCCATTTTTATAGAAAACTCAACATCAACACTACATCTCATGCACCACTACGATTTTTTATTAATACCTTCTTATAGAATAAAATACTGAGGCACTGCAAAATTCTGTAAATTTTCAGTAAATTGTGGTTTACCAACCTCAGAATGAAATAGACCTAATCCAACTTAATCTTCACCTTCTCACAACTGTGATCTAACTGAAATTCATGGTGCTGTCAATGGCTTATTGGGTAAGTCATTTAAACTTTCCCTGTCTCAATTTCTCCAGATATGAAATCCGATCCAGGGTCCTTGCCACATCTATAATTTGAATGAATGACTGAGGAAGTAGAATGCCAAGCATTTTGTGGCCCTTAAAAATAAGATTTCCTATAAACACAATTTTAAAATGATTAACCCACACCTTTACCTCTGGCTCAGCCCTACCCAGCTTTCTGAGTCCCAGGCTGGCTCCTGAGATACCAGATGCGTTGAGTTTCTTCCCCACCAGTGAAGCTGGTGTACATTTTGGAGTGGGAGAACTGTTTCAATGTTATTCAACACAAAACAGCACCATTAAAAAAATACTGACAAGAAAATCATGGCATCCACATCCAAAGATGACAGAACTAGTTTTGGGTCACCCCTATCAGCCTCCTTGCAGGAGTGAAGTATCATTTAAAGCTAATTGGATGGCAGGTAGCTTGGCCTGTGATTCATCTGGTTTTATATTAAGAAAAAAAAAATCAGTTCTTAAACTAAAATTCCAAGTAAAGCTATTTAGAAAACACATTCACTATTCCATGTTCAGAGATTCATGTTAGCTGTTGCTAAATTCATCAAATAAGAGAAAAATTTAAATGACAAGAAAGTTAAGAAATGTTTTCAAAGATGCTTGAGCAGTCAGAAATTCTTTGATGTGTATTTTGTCATTAACAAGTATTCCTGATAATCGCACTAACATAGGTGAAAAAACACTCCTCAAAATAAATGTGGGAGTTGACAGCAGATGCTGAGTACAAGGGAAGATTCACTGAAATGAAGAAATAGACAAAACGTGATGATCGGAGGACAGGGCTCCTCAGGGTGCTCACCTGCTCGGGACCCATGGAGGACAGCCCTGACGTAGGCACGGAGGTCACTGAGGTCATGCTGATCTGTCCTGTCATCTGGTTCATGTTGCTCATCCCACCTGTGTTGGTTGCCATGGATACATTGATGTTCATATTGTTATTGTACATGCTGGTGTTTGCTTGCTGCCCAAAGTGAGGTGGGGACTGCTGTGAAAACATGCTGGAAGGCAATGAAAAGATGACAATGTCAGCGCCCAGTGCAAACAGGCAGGCAGCTTGGAGCACTTGCTCCTCTGGCATTTACTTCAGAGTGAAGAAAACCAGGCGGAGAGAACCCAGGGTGGGACAGCCAGCAGGTGCCGAGGTCAGAAACAGCAGGGCCCGTAGTGCTCAACGAGGCTGCAGGGGCGGCCGCGGCACCGGGGAGGTCGGGAAGGCTGTTTCCCACCCTCGTGTCTGTACGGGACAAGCTTTGTGATTGTTCCCTCGTTACACGCACTGACAAGGACGGCTTCGAGGGCACTGCCTTCTTCAGCAGTTTCATACACGGGCGGGGTGCTACCTTCTTAGGGGGCTCCTTTTACTTCCAAGGAAAAGACCTCAGACTGAGCTTTTTCAAATTCTGGGACTTCTGCCCTAGAAAAAGCAAGCTGGCTTACTTAGCAGTTTATTTGGCATCGCTTTCTTGTGTAAAGGAGTTAAGAAAAGCACAGAAAAGAGACGTGTGGTCTACAGAAAGATCTCCTGGTGATCATTTACATAAAAAAGACACAGGAACACAGCATACCTGTTCCCACCCATGGACCCCTGTGCCCATCCGTTCATGTCGGAGGAGGCCTGATAGGCGGGGCTGGCCTGGGTCTGCTGCAGCATGGGGCTCTGCGTGTGCGCCATTCGGGGTGACATCAGAGGGCTCTGGGGTGTGGTAGCCCCAGTGAAACCGGGATCAGGTTGCTGACTTATTCCTTAGAAACAAAATAGAAATCCAAAGGAGACTGTTAGTTTGAGTGTAGTGAAAAGAAAGAGAGCATTCAAGTTAAATACACACAGAAAATTACTTTCAAATATCTGCTCACGTACTGGTTAATTACATATATTTTAAAAAGGTTCCAAGGTGGGATAAAATGTGTGAAGAAAAATATCTCTCCGTCTTAATTCTCACAGTAGTTACAGGGGTTCTTAGGAACCATGTTAACTATCATGGCTAGAGGTAGGGAGAGAAAATATTATTTTCCCCCATAAACCTTTCCAAATCAAGAATGATCAAATATATATTTCTCTTTAACCTGAAGTAGTCTTTAAATTTTTATATGTCACTATAAGGACTGTTTAAACAGAATTAAAATTTCACAATATATAAAAAGTCAATATATTTGAATAATTTTTTACTGAATTAATGTCATTCTTTATAAGGCAGATGCATTTTTACAAATAAGCAACTGCATCCACGGTGAGCTCGCCTGACTTCAGGAAGGGCTGGATGGTACTGCAGTGCTAGCCAGGACTAGCAGGAAGAGGGAAACAGCTCAACGTAAGCTTCTTGTTCAGTTTAGAAGCAAATGGCATTTAGACTAAATAGGGGGAAAACGTTGAGAGGACTGTTCTAAACCATCAAAAAGGAAATAGAGGAGAGGAGCTTGGAAACAAAGGAGGCAACTTCTCGGGAAATTTCAGGGGTGATGTTGAGATAAGCAGGTTTTTGCCCAGAAGACATGTAAAACATGCATATTTAATCAATATTTAAATTAGCTATAAAGGAAAAGTTGAAGATCACACAGGAAAAAGCTGCACATTATCTTTCTGTGTATTTTTTAGTGTTGTTTTTTTTTTTAAGAAACAAAGTCATTCTGAATATTAATGTAAGCACTTACTTTTGTCAATAATTCAACTATTAATTGAACATGACATGCACATGAATATTAACACTGATGACACTACACACTTGCCTTTTAAGGCTGACCCAACAAATCAATATGAAGAAAACCAAGAGGCCTTCCATTGTGGTTCCTATACAGCATTTCTCAAGGATTATCTATTCATTAAAAATCTGGTATAAACTTTGAAGTCTTTATTTTTCAAAGTTGTAGAATGTCTCTAATACTTACATTTCTATATGACTTTCAACATTTTGTGTATGTCTATTGATTTGTTTGAGTCAGACTCAGAGGTTCAAACATAAATACATATATATCCACCTGTGTTTACAGACACGGACATAAACACATAGATCCACACACGCACACACACGACTGGTGGATGCACTGTCCACACTCACACTGACTTCGGTCATTCTTAAAGTAAGACCTGCACTCAGAGAAAAGGTGGTACCTGAGCTGAGAGACTGGAAGGTACTGTGCTGGACCTGGGGACTCCTGACAGGCCCCAACTGTCCTCCCAGGTTGCCTATCATTCCCTGGTTAGCCAGAGCCAGCTGGGAGCCATGCAAAGAGCTGTGAGAGAGGAGCTGTGACCCAGGACTGGGGGACACTGGGGAGAAAGGACTGGAGAAAGGTGGTGGGGATGTAAGTCCAGTACCGTAGTTTGGAGGAAATGGAAACTGCTGTGCATTTGCCTGGGGGACCCGGGGGTTGCTCATAGTTGCGGGCATCCCACTAGGAGCCACCATGCTTGATGTCATATTCAACCCTTGGCCTCTCATCATCAAAGTCCTTTGCTGAACTTGCTGTTGCTGATGCATCTGTCTCTGGCGGAGATGCTGGTTCAGGATCTCCCGCTGCCTCTGGGCCAGCATCTGGGCATTAATAGGTGCCTGAAACGGGGGCAGCACAGGGTGGAAAACGTTGGAGTACACACAGGTTGAAAAACAAAGTGTATATTAGAAATAGGATAAAAATAATGGTACAGCCTCGTGCAAAATTATTTGGAAAATACATTTATATGGAAAGAACACTGTAGAGCTGAACAACTACTGGTGGTTGAGAATGTGAGCTTCTAAGTTCTACAGAGATGATTATTCCGAAACGTGCCATGACGTACACAGGTAAGCCCAATGTGAGCACCAATTAACTGGAGGCTCGAAGTGAGAGGACCTCCCGGTAAGTCCAGTCCCTCCTGTCAGAGGACTCTGACGTCAACTTTGAGAATGGCAATTCAGAGTCTCATTCAAGTCCAAAGGGGAAACCAAATCACTGTGCCAAAGGGTTCCTGAAGCCCTTCAGAAAAGGCTGAGCAGAGGCCGGGAGAGAGGGGGCAGGGGCAGGTGACGAGAAGAGATGCCGGCACTTGGGGGCCCTCGCGATATACAGCCGACCCTCATTATTCGTGGATTCCTTGTCTGTGCACTCCTTTCCTCACTAAGATTGATTTGTATCCCAAATCAATATTCACAGCACTGCTGTCATTTACAGATACGTGCAAAGCAGTGGATAATTTGAGACACTCCCTGTGCCTGCTCCCTCCTGACTCCGCCTTCTGGTTCCCACCCTCAGACTGCATTAGGTGAGTTACAGGACTATTGTCTGTGAGTTCAAATGTCAAAGACTGAAGAATACCCATTAAATAAGCTGTTTTCAAATGGAAACATACCTAAAACAAGGTCATGTATTGCTAGGTTGCTGAATATGTTGTGAGCAGAGGCTCATAGGAACCTAACCCTCTACTTCTCCTAGGAGCAGTAGTTCTGTGTCCGCTAATTCTTGCTTGCAATAACTTTATGGAACACAACATGTGAATAATGGAGTTGCCTGCAGCCGCAATAACAATGGCAATGGTTAAGAGGAACCACGAAAGATGACTGAATGATGTTACAGATCCCCTGTGGTCGTCAGAACATCTGGCACCTCAGTTACCTCACGTGGGGCATCAAGGGGGGAGAAATGGACCCAGCGAAAGCTGACGGAGGGGCTGCCCCTTACCTGTGTTGGTACTCCAGGCCTCAGAGTCAGGTTGGACACATTGGACACATTGCTCATTTGATTCATAAGGGGCTGGCGATTCTAAATGGATACACATAGGAATCAGGACATTAAAAAACCCCTATGAATTTTATTTCAAATCATCTTCCTAACAAAATCACCTTCCACCCAACATCTGCCTGCTGCTGGACACTGAAGCCCCGGCTTGGAGCTGGATTCTTGTGGAAGCCAGTTCTGAATGAGGTGTCACATTGCTTATAACTGGGAAATTATTTTGGACTGTTCGGAAAACAACTGTTTGAAAGGGAGGAGAATGACCAGAAAAGGAGGCCAAGAGGAAGACTAGAAAAAGGCAGGTGCTCATCACTCAGAGAAACGAAAGGAGATTGGAAAGCCCGCAACATGATTACCTGTTGTATCACAGAAATCTGCTGACAGGGACCATTCTGTCATAGATAGGACTCCTGACAGGAGCAGCTGGTGTTCTGAGTGCTTGGTTTGAGCTTGGAACTGTGCTGGGTCCCTTAAATATACATATACTGCCCTGTACTGTACAACAAGCCCATTTTACAGAATGAAAACTGAGGCTCAGAGAGCTCAAGATTAGACCATTAGTAAAGAATGGAGTTAGCGTATGCAAGGACAGCTACTCTGTACTGGAGTTAGTGGAGGAGAAAGAAAGAAAGGAGTAGAAAGGAGTATGAAAATCATAGGATCATCTTGGAGAAGTTGTCACCCTCCTAGAAAGCATGGAATGAGATCGAAGGCATCCAAGGGACACACAATTACTGCTCCATCTGACATCTGTCCTCCCTGTGCCACCCACCCTCCACCCTCCACCCTTCACCCCAGGCTTCCAGGCACTCACAGAGCACATACCTGCTGTGCTTGGAGGCGATGCTGCAGTTGGAGCCTCAGCTGATTCGGCTGGTTCTGCACCAGGCCTGTGGGCCTGAGGCTGGGTCTGGGCTGCATGCGGAGTGTGGCGTAACTGGGCCGCTGCCCCATGCTGTGGAAGTTGGGGTCCTGCATGGGAGAATAGCTCCCCTGGGCCATCTGGGCCTGAGACGCGTACTGCTGGGGGAAGACGGGCGCCTTCTGCTCCAGCATCATGTTGGAGTCCTGGCTCGAGAACTGGTCCGGATCGACTGCCTGGCTCTGAAGAGAAAGCCCAAGGAATAAACAAAGAAATAAAGAAACTAACAACAGCAGAGGGAATGTAAGGCTGGTTTTTCTCACTGTCAGAGATTTGAAGCCTTTTATACTGTCCTCACCACACAAAGGTACTTTTAGCTTGACTTCACTTTTCTTTCCAGGAAAGCCTTTATGTGAGGCAGGAAGCCGGGGTCAGGCGTGACGTCCCCGTCACTTCTTCCCAGGGAAGGGACCCATGGGCCATGACTACGAAAGCTGCCTACTCACTCCACCAACCAGATACTGACCTGGACTTTCAATGCGCCTGTTTCATGTTTTCTTGATAGATTACTCATACCTGCATAGTTCATTTCAATGAGCAACCACCTTGGTATCTAGTTGGGATCAGCAGTTTTGGGGTCCCCACCACCATTATTCCCATTTTGCAGATAATGAAACTGAGACTTGGAGAGGTGAAACAAACTGCAAGAAGCCGACCTGGGTTCCAGTCCAGTCTGTGACTTAGGACCTGAGCTACTCACCAGTATGATACACTGCCTTTATTTTATTAAAAAATATATACCTTTATTGATTTCAAAGGGGGAGGGAGAGGGAGAGAGAGAGAGAAACATTGATCGGTCGCCTCCTGTATGTACCCTGACCAGGAATTGAATCTGCGACCTTTTGGTGCATAGGACAATGCTCTAACCAACTGAGCCACACCAGCCAGGGCCCCATGATAGTTTTGAAAATGTGGATGGATCTTTGTGGGGGAAACTATTCATTGTTGAATTACTATTCTAACTAAATCCACAAAACTACCTCAGAACTTTAAATATCTGCCCATCTTTAGTCCTGGCTGGTGTGGCCATTGTTTGGGAATCATCTGGTGCACCGAAAGGCTGCTGGTTTGATCCCTGGTCAGGGCTCATGCCAGGGTTGCGGCTTAATCCTTGGTAGGGGGTGTGCAGGAGGCAGCTGATGGGTGTTTCCCTCTCACATCCATTTTACTCTCCCCCCCTCCCTCTCTCTCTAAAAATCAGTTAAAAAACAAATATCTATTTGCCCAATTTTAACAGAGAGAACATTTAATTTCCATTTTCAAAGAAAACACATTTCTGATGAGTAAAAATAAAGTCCACTACTACTTCACATTTCGAAGCCCCACCTACTAATAAGCACACTTCCATAATTCAGTTTCACATGATATAACGATGGTGTATTTGATGAGACAAAAGAGAAATAATACAAAGAAATGGAAAAAATAAGACTAAGATATTAAATGATGAAATGACGCCAGTTTTGATAAAAACAATGCACTCAGCAAAACCCAGGATCACATTTTTAAATGTCACTGAGACAAAACTCAAGGACAACAACACTGAATGCTGAATTCTAACTATCACCCGAGGCAAAGCCAGCAGCCACACAGGAAATAGTTAAACTCCATTTTCCTTTCTTGCGGTATTTCAAGTTATATCAAGTCATTTCTTTCCATTTTGCTGTTCTCAGTATGAATTGACAAGTCTGAACTCCCACTTATGTCTGCGAACTGTGGGGATTATGACGAGACTGTTTTTAATGCTTCAGAAGTCTCCAATGACTGCCCCACCTTCATCGCAGACCTCACGGCACGTCAGACGTGCAAGAAGTCGACCCGACACTGGGAGGTACTTTTTAGTAACAAGAAACAAAGATGATTCATGCTGCTAAGAGAGGAAGACAGAAACACGACCGTGATCGTTTTTTCTAGGTTCCTCCTTATACAGTGAATCAGGAAGGCGGCTTCACACCAACTTAGCTAGGTAGCCAGCTTCAGAAAGGCTATGCTATTTCATGAGACTGTCTATGATATTACTTATAATTAATTATAATTTATGATATTACTGCTATAAAGTAATCTTACAGCAGAGACTTACTTTAAGTTACCGACTGATTACCAGGAGGAAGGAAGCTAACTGAGTACACTAATTGGTTAACTTCTTTATATTCCCACTTATGCTTAAATATCCTAAATATTGTTGTGGGCTAAACCCACGCAAAGGTCAAAATGATTAATGAGTTACAGCAACCTCTAAATTGACTTCTGCTACCGTATGTGCAAAGTATTCTTTTAGAACAAATAGCTTCCTATCACTGGCCCACAAACGTAAGATTCGTATGGTGATCATGGAGACTGGGTTTCAGAGGAAAGCATTCAAGGCCATCGGGGCAGCAATGTTCCATTCAGCAGGTCCCTCCCTGTCGTTAGGTGTGCTGGACCTGTGTTTCTGCCTCTCAGCTGAATAACCCAAATTCTACGTAAAGCTCATACCCAGTGTTTTCCGTTCTTGGGCCAGAGTTTATGAGGTAGTCACAAGGAGAGGGGGGGAAAGAAGCCAGAGCTAGAGTGGCACGAGGTGAAAAGGTATTGTAAAACGCAGACTGCAGATTATCTGTGGGCAAAAGGAAACGAACATCTCTGTGCCCACGAGATGCTCAGCCCCGCCAGCTTCCGCCTGCACGTACCTGGCTGACCAGTTCGGGAATTCCCAAAGCTCTGTCAATCTCCTCCAGGCCATCGAAGTTCCGCAAGGCCAGGTAGAGCTGGTCCAGGAGGGCGCCCTCGTCGCTGGGAGACTCGGCGGCAGGGTGTGGGCACAGCAGGTCATCGGGGGAGCTGCCGAACGGCTGCCTGCAAAGACAAGACTTCGGCTTGGGCCCGTGGAAAGGCTAGCTGATCGCAGAACATTGTTATTCCTTAAGGACTAAAGTCTCAGTTGCCTTCTAGGGTCTTTGTAGTAAAATACTGTACCAGCTGGACACAGAACAAAATGACCTATGCAAGTCCAAGGCCCACCTGGCCATTAATGTTTCCACAAATGGACGCTGACCCCACAAGCACATATATATTTACTTTGCACTGAAGTGATCAAAGGACTTTTCCTGAACTTTACTAGGAAAGTCTGATTGATTGAATAGTCTTATTTCATAGGAGGCTGTGCTGACCCACCCGGGAGATGCCAGAGCACGAGAGGCACATAAAAGCCACATGAATTTCTGAACTCGGCTGTCGCCAGACTAAACTTCACTGGACTAACAGGAGCCTTCTTAGTCGCCCGTAAGCAAGACTCGGAAACATGAAAGCTCCTGAGGTGGCCAAGAGAAGCCGATCATGAACCTGCAAAGTATGTTTGTTAATCTATATGGTAATAGATGATAAAACCATATTAAACTCCAAATTCTATGGTATATAAAACTCCCATCATTGAAATTAACTGACAAATTGGGGGAGATTTTTAAAAAGAGCTTCTGAGTCACTTTAACACCAACGGGGAAATGATACTTATCTTTCCAAAATAGTCTAAATTTGTACCCTTTGAGTTACTATATGATGTCTTGGAGGAAATAACTTCATTCTTAAGTGAACACAGATTCATCAAGGGATGAAGCTGCTTCTTTAGCCCAGTTGAACATGCCATGCTTTCTGAAGATAGCTGAATATGTCACATTGGCCTAGAATCCAGAAATCCTGAAATGCTGATTACTAAAGCCAACAATTTCAAAAAGTTGTAACAACACAGTACATTAAAAATAATCTAGACTCTCCACTGATCCCTAGTTACTGGTAAAGAAAGGCACCCCAGCCCTAACTGGTTTGGCTCAGTGGATAGCGCATCGGCCTGCGGACTGAAGGGTCCCAGGTTCGATTCCAGTCAAGGGCATGTACCTTGGTTGCGGGCACATCCCCAATAGGGGGTGTGCAGGAGGCAGCTGATTGATGTTTCTCTCTCATTGATGTTTCTAACTCTCTATCCCTCTCTCTTCCTCTCTGTAAAAAAATCAATAAAATATATTTAAAAAAAAAAGAAAAAAAAAAAAAAGAAAGGCACCCCATTAAATGTCCCTTGAGAATACCCTCACCACCTCCTGTCCCTGGCTCCCAGCCTGCAGCCCCACTGCCTCTGAGGCACTGGGCCCAGTTAAAGGACATAGCACCTCACATGAGCTACCAGCAGTTACACGCACGCACCAGCCACTCGGGCTCCCACCCACACGCTCAGCCTCTGCCCTCACTGGGGACTCTCCACCTGCCTCCTCTCCCCACCATGGCTGTGGTTCTCGGTAAACAGCAGGCACTGAAATAGCTCCCCCACGGCCGACACCTTCCCAGAACTCACTTTTAAATACAAGTGTGATCCGATCACTCCTCACCGCTGCTTAGGGAGGAGCAACCAGGAGAAAACCACAGGACTGCATGTCATGGCGGCAAAGGCAGAAGGAAAGGCCCGAGAAGTGACCAACATCTGGATGTGGTAAACTTCATGCAAAAAGAGCTCAAGTCGGCCAGAGTGGACGTCGGCTCTGTACCAGGTCTCTTAGGCTGAGACCTCATTCCCCAAACATGCTATTCACGTGGGGCATTCAAGTATTTCCTTTGTCTAGCTTTATTTCAAAATTCTCAATTCCTGTTTCTCCAGAAGCTTCATTCCTACACACACCCCTGGCCCCTCATCTCTCCACGGGTGATAGGCTCATGGGCAACCGTACCGTTACCCTCACTTTTCACATGTATTCCCAAAATCCTGCAAAAAGTAGCAGCTACTACATGATGAGAAATAGTCAACACAAGAAACTTTACTCTCATGTACATTTCAAACAGAAAACCAAGTGAACTCAAAAAATGTGAATTTAATGTGAAAGCAAATCTTTCATGAAAGACAGCGATTCTATTTCAAGAAAAAAAATCACTTTTATAAATCCAACAGAAATCTTCAAACAAATCATCTATACATTTTGGACTATATTTCAAACCTCTCTTTTACGTAGCAGGTGAGCTAAGGAAAAAACACAATGGAACTACAGAAAATGGAAATTCAGCTACAATCAGTGAGTATGGGGATATGTTAGAGATTTAACACACTGTCCTTTTGAAATATGTACATAAACTAATGCTTGGTTCATAAACATTAACAAACCCATTCCTAAACAGGTGGGTCGTAAAAATATAAGATGGTGACGGTGACGCTAACAGAGGGGATTTTTAAAAAGCACTGCTTTCCTTTTGTTTCAAGAGGGATGTTGTTAGAACCTGTTACCATCACCTCTGAGGCACTATGGCAGTAAGATTAGCTTGAAGTTGGTCTTAACTTTCTTCCAAACTCAATTATTTAAAATACAGTAAGTGGGATGAGTGCCTGGAAAGACTGGAATAACTTCTAAAGTAGCAAAAACACTTTGTTCACACAGTTCTTAGACACAGATAGCCGGAGATAGGGACCGAGGGGGCAGCACAGGCCACGGTGAGCCCCAGAACCTGCGTGGCACAGCTCACTCTGCATTTGGACTCAGTAAAATCGGAATTCTTCCCTTTTAAACCAACCAACCAACCAACCAACCACCCAACCAACCAGAACTCTCATCTGTTTGGGCAACTGAAAATCCTAATTTTGGGCTTAGGATGATTTCCCTAGAAACTCATCTTTCCATTTCATTCAAAAACAACTATCAAGTGTTGGATTTAATTATTGCACTATATTTTTATTATGTGTAAATTTCCATGGAAATGGCTGGGTTTATTCTATTTTTTACTATTTTTATTTATTTCAGAGAGAGAAAAGGAGAGGGAGAGAGAGAGAGAGATAGAAACACCAATGATGAGAGAGAATCATTGATCAGTTGCCTTCTGTACACCCCCTACTGGGGATCAAGCCCGCAACCTGGACATATGCCCTTGACCGGAATCGAACCTGGGACACTTGAGTCCGTAGGCTGACGCTCCATCCACTGAGCCAAACCGGTTCGGGCTGGGTGGGTTTTAACATACCAAATAGACATATTTAGGAAAGAACAACCCTCCCACACTGTGAAATTAGACTCAAAGTCTCCCTGTCTGTTCTTCCAGCCTCACTGCCACTCACGGTGCAGTGGGAGGACCAGCGGTGCTGGCATCACCTGGGCTTTGTGGGGAAGGCAGACTCCTGGGTCCCACCCAGACCTGCCTCTCAGTGAGACTCCAGAGGCAGTTCACAGGCACAGTGGGGTTTGAAAACACTTGTTTCACTGGGCCAGTGTGGCTCAGTGGTTGAACACTGACCTATAAACCAGGAGGTCATGGTTCCATTCCTGGTCAGGGCACATGCCTGGGTTACGGGCTTGATCCCTGATGGGGGGCATGCAGGAGGCAGCCGATCAATGATTCTCTCTCATCATTGATGTTTCTATCCCTCTTTCCCCCTCTTCCTCTCTGAAATCAATAAAAACATATCCCCCTTAGCGAATGGCATACAGCAGGTGAGCACCCTTCCTTCTTTAGACAGTTATTAATCAGTTTCCTTAATCTTTTCTTTCACTGCAATAACCAGCTCTCTACTTTTCTCACCAAACCTATTGCTGGGCACATATTCACCTTTCGCTATTTTTTAAAACGTCATTGAATCCTTTATTACTCACTTTACAGAAAGAAAGATGGGCACACACTGCAACCCTGCACTGCGCAGCCCCGACTACGATGAAAGCATTACATCCCAGAGAGGGACTCACTCAGAAATGTGCATTTTTAAGCAGCTCTGGAAATGAGGCCTGCCTGGGTGAAGCTCCAGAAAGCCTGTTGACTTTCATCATTTGTGCATTTGATAAGAGAATTATATGATTTGAGACTAGAATAATCTCAGAAGGACATAAACATTCACTCTGCAAAAAGGTCTTCATGGAGCCTCCAACCCCAACTCTTTTTTAAAAAAAATATATTTTATTGATTTCTTACAGAGAGGAAGGGAGAGGGACTCAGAGAGTTAGAAACATCGATCAGCTGCCTCCCGCACATTCCCTACTGGGTAGGTGCCTGCAACCAAGGTACATGCCCCTGACCGGAATCGAACCTGAAACCCTTGAGTCTGCAGGCCGACGCTCTATCCATTGAGCCAAACCAGTTAGGGCCATCCCCAACTCTTTACATATGAGCCTCGAGGCCAAATTCCTCCAGTTTACGTTTTCTAAGAAGTTTGCTTCCTGGAAAGCAAAGCCTGCATCCTGTGAGGGCCCACTGCCTCTTGCTCAGGCCCCAGCTCTCTCCCTGCCCTAGGCTCTCGCCAATCCGGCCAGCTGGGCAGTGCCATCACTCAGGCCTCAGTCCCCTGTGCAACCTCGGCCTCCAGTGCTCGGCTAAAACCCAGTGAGATCTCGCAGTATCACAACGGATGTTGCCTTTGCCGGGAATAACACAGAACAAAACACAGCGATGAGCTGAAACGCAGGCATTCTCCGAGCCACGGGTGATGGGTGCGTTTTTATCCATAAAGCAAAGCGAAGTCAAAGAGCTACCCTGAGACTGCTGGGCTGAGCTGAGGGACCCTGGGGGAGACCCAAGTAAGTAGTGACGTCACATCTGGCAGAGACCTCTGCAAATTCTCCCTTAATAAAAGTGCCCTCAATTTCAATCCCAGATGTTTCACTAACAGAGATCTGTTATGAACTCCCAGTGAAATTACCAATGCACTTAGGGAAATAGGTCAATCATTGGATTTAGAACTTCAAGAAATCCAGATATTGAAAGTATTGAATTAAAAAAATTAGAAATAATGATTAATGTAATATTTAAAGATATAAAGATAAATTCACAAAAATAGCCCTAGCTGGTTTGGCTCAGTGGATAGAGCATTGGCCTGCAGACTAAAGGGTACCAGGTTTGATTCTGGCCAAGGGTACATGCCCCGGTTGCGGGCTAGATCCCCAGTAGGGGTCATGCAGGAGGCAGCCGATCAATGATTCTCTCTCATCATTGATGTTTCTTTCTCTCTAGCTCTCTCCCTTCCTCTCTGAAATCAATAAAAATATATATTTTTTTAAAAATCACAAAAATAAGCAAGCAGAAAGAGGTTATGAAAAATACCCGGGCAAATAAAACTCTTAGAAATGAACAATATATACTAAATACCAGGTAGTATCAATAAATCCACACCTAGACACACTGTGGTAAAGCTACAACACAGCAAACACAAAGAACTGTTCAAAAGCAATTAGAAAGAAAAGATCACCTACAAGGAAATGAAAATGATTAGACTGATAATCACAACCAAAAAAACTCAATAAACTTGATCAGATACCAAATCCTTTTTCAAAAAACTATTTCAATGGCTTAATGTACAAAATCTGAATTCTTCAGTTTGGTCAGGCACCAGCTATTAAAAGGAGAGGACTGACTTTGGGCACAGGCCTGTGTAAAATAACGTACAGAACTCGGAAAGCAGCTCTCCTGGACCTCCTGGGGCCTCCGGACTCACCTGCTCTGGCTGGCGAAGGAGGCCTGGTCTATGGGCAGGATGCTCTCAGGCCACGGGGCGGTCTGGTTTGGAGGAGCTTGCTGTTGGCTATACTGGGCGCCCCCCATGTTCATCTCTAACTCAGATGGCCCTAGAAAAGGAGAAGACAAAAGTCCAAAAATCTTACAGCTTGTAATCAGGGAAGGATCTGTTTCTGCTATGTAATACAAAGCAAAACATCTGGTTTTTAGAAGATGAAAAAGACAGGAGGAACACTAATCAGGTGAAAATAAGACTCTTTGTTCTGATACAGAAATACAGGCAGTGAATATCACGGCTAATCACCGCTTCCAGGGTGGTGCAGAGCAGCAGCTCTACACCTCTTCTTGCCCTGAGGAACCTTTCCATTTTGTCAAAAAAGATTTTGTCTATGTGGGTTGTATCTTACTGAAATTTACTTTGTTGGAATTAAAATTGGCCAATAGAAAAAAATATTACTTCATTTAAAAATCATTATAATAAACCCAGTATATGTTAACACAAACTTTTTTGAATGAAAAAACAAAAAAACCCACCGCCACCTTTTACTGATGTTGTTTTACATTTTTGAAAATCACTTTAATGTCCTTTGACAGAAGAGAGTCAGAATTTCCTACTTGCTTCCACATTCCAGCCCCACGAGAGGAGAGTGAGGAAGAAAAACAGTGTCTTAGTGTGATTATGAGAATAGTCTGGGCCTGGCAGACCCCCTTTCCAAAGGGCGCCGGGGTCCTGGGCCGTCCTGTGAGAGGCGCTGGTCTGCGCGTGCTCCTGAACCTACTGGGTTCAGTGACTCTCCAGGGAGTAAGGGTGGAGCAGAAAGGAGGCCAGTAGCTCAGACATGCTCATTCTTAATAGCTCTTTTTAGAGCTTTAAGGCTAATGATGATATGAGCTTTTTAACAATTTTACTGTTATCATTATCTATAGACCTGTCTTCCATTACAATAGATTTCCATTATAATCAGAAAAACTCAGTTATACAGCAAAGCTCAGAAGCCAAGAGTGATGCCTTTCAATGATGAAAGACTGAAACTAAATTAAATTTCTGGATATAGGTATTTATTATGATGTTTTTTAAATGAAGAAATATTAAAAAAAATTTCCCAGTTTAATTTTGCATGGAATTCCTGTCATTTTTTAGCATTTCTCATGCAACCTCAAATGACAAGAATGTCATCTTTCAGAAACAATAACCCAAAATGCACTGAGCAGTTAAGCTGCTGGTTAGGAAAACAGATGCCAGAGGTGGGATGAGGAGTCTGCACCTCCTGCTCCAAACAACCGTGGCACCTTTCCATCATCAGTTAGCTCCTAGTCATGGCACAATATCTAAGTATATGAAACAGAACATAAACGTCAACTTATCTGAGCTATGCTAATGTACAAGAGGAAGGTTAATATGTCAATGATTAAAAACATAATCTTGAGTATGAGCTGCATTTACCATTAATATGTTTTAATAATGGCTTTATTGAGCTATAATTTGCATAGCATACAATTTATCTCTTTATAGTATACCATCCAGTGGGTTTAGTATATTTACCGATTGTACAACCTCCACGACAATCAAGTTTAGAATATTCTTATTCTCCCCCAAAGAATGACCATTGGGAGTCACTCCCCATTGTACTCCCACCCCCAGATCCCAAGTCCTAGGTAAACATTAAACTACTTTCTCTACAGATTTGCCTATTCTGGGCATTTCATATAAAGGGAGTCATGCAATATACCTGACCATTAATTTTTAATAACATGTGAACTGTATCCAAACAAAATTCTACTGATCCTCACGATTTGTGAGACGTTCTGTAAGACCTGCACCTTCGTGAGGACCTGGGAGAGTAGGTTTAACAGTGGAGGGCAGTGGCCCAGGAACCTGCACTTGAAGGTCCTGAGGTGACCCTGATGTTAGGAACCGCTGTTAGGACCCAGATGTTAGGACCCAGAGTTAGGAACCGCTGCTGCATCACTGAAATGCTTCTCCAAAAGACACCATTTATATGGGACACTCACTGCCCATATAAGCTGAAATTAGGTAATTTAATGAAAAGAAAACATCACAAAGGTAGCTGGCTCTCGTAGGAAACTGAAAAACCTTTGAGTTTCTATACAGAGTTCCAGCAAAATCCCACTCTGACAGCGTGACATGGGGGACACCTAAATGGCAAATTAGGAGCCTGTCTTGGGAGCACTTCTGGAGCTGTTAGTCTAGGAAAGCAGAAGCAAAGCCAGGAGCACCACCTTACCTAGATTCATGACCTGAGACTGAAGCATCTGCCTTTGGCCAGGCTGGCTGCTGGGTCTCATGGGGATGTTGGCGGCTGGATTCCGAATCATACCTCCTTGGAGCGTCCTGTTCATGGCGCTGGCGGTAGCAGCACAGGTGACTCGCACGGAACTCTGCGGTGCCCACTCCCCAGATGGCATGGTGGGCCGGGCGGCGTTACTACCTATCATCCCTGAAGGCAAGCCAGAGAAGACAGAGACATGCAGAAACTGAAAACATACTCAGCACGTGTGAACGCCACACAATCTTACTCTGAGCAAGACAACCAGTCTGCAATACGCAGCTAGCCCAACAGCTAAGGCCTTCACTGGGACAGATGTGGGCCGTTGGCTAAGAAATAAGAATTGGCAATTACTACAAAGTTTTTTACAACACGGACTTGCCACTCTGTATAGTTCGGAAAAGCTGTTAAAATTGTTCCCATATGTACTCAGAAACAGGTGCTGTGGCGTGTGGATAACCCCAACTTCCTTCCTCAGGAAGTGAATCACATTAGCTGACACACACGTCAATGCTTTACTTTCCAAAAGGGAGGTGAGGCCAAGAAGAACAAGGTAAAAAACTGATCATCAATACTCTAATCACAAACCAAAATCATGGAGACTATCCCGTGAAGCCCACGCCTATGCCTTTCAGAGCATTAGAATTTGTTAAGCTTTAAAATTGCCGGGTAGCCTCCAAAGCATGGGGCAATGACCCGATCTTTCTACTACGGTTCTTTGTAGCCAAGACTGGGAACTCCTACTACTTCAATATGCCTGGACCATCACATTCCTGAGTATAGATCTAGAATGGGTTCGGGCAGACTGGTAAAAATCCTTTTATGCTTGAGATGTTAATAGCTAGTTGACCACACATAATACAGGAGCACGACACTGGTAAGCAGGATCGGGAGTCTGCTTTCCCTCGCTCGGCCGCCGAGATGCTGGCAACGGCCAGAGATTTGCCAAGACTTGATATTCTAGAAGTTCTGGAAAAACCCCAAGTGCGGACCCTTCATTTTGAAATGTTTAATGACGGATGTATAAAAACTCTGCTTTCAAATACATGACTTGCTTTCATTTACTTTAATTATAATAAACAACTAAAAATAGGGTACATTTAATAAATGGAGCAGCCATGTATGGTGGGTGGTTTTTTCCTGGAGAATGTGCTCCGTTAGGATGATTAAGAGTGAAGGACATTTAATTAGGTTGAAAAAGTTAGAACAATATTATGGTAACATGTATTTAACAAACTATTTTAAGATTAGATTTAAATTTTACAAATATATAATAGGAAATAGGCATTTCAGCTTTCAAAAAATCTATTATCTAAACGACATAATAAGATTATAGAAAGTCCAGAAAGCAGAAGGTAAAACCATCCTTAATTCAACAACATTAATGCAATTATAACTGGGGGAGTTTCTCTCAGCGTTTTCTTTTTCAACAAAGCACAGGCAATTAACTGCATGATGACAGCCTGAATACCAGTGGTCTCTGGGCTGCTTAGAATTGAATACAGGTATATCCCCAAGTTCTTATGTCAGGTTCCCACAAGGACTCAGGTCTTCTTGGATTCTGCTAATAAGAAGCCACCTTTAATAAGTCATTGGCTCCTGTTCTCTTATAAAATTTACATAAACCAATATTTTATTTCTATAAATCAATAGTCTTAAAAATTATGCAAAATTTATATGGCACTATTTCTGTGAATATACAAATTAGTGAAGTAGTAAGTTCCTGGCAATTAGGATAGGTACCCAATTAGTATTTGTTGAATGAACTATTTTAATACAGCATGGTTCATTGCTTTATGAAAAACAGAAAGTAAAAAAATCCATCTTTTCCCCTTAAATTGAACTCTTATTTTCAGTTAACTATCTAAATGGCAAATGTTTACAGGGATTACATAAATTAAACACCCACCAATATAAGTTCTTTTGATAATATCTATTATTTCAGTACCTTTTTCTTTAGGCCCTCATTTCAACAAAGGAAGAAAGCTATAAATTGTAAGCAGTTCTTTATAAAAAACTGGAGATTGAGCCTGCAACCCGGGCATGTGCCCTGACTGGGAATTGAACTGTGACCTCCTAGTTCACAGGTCAACGTTCAACAACTGAGCCACACCAGTCGGACTAAAGTTTTTATTTTTAATGAATATTTTTCTGAATGAGAATGGTATCATTTACAAGCATGAAAGGTTGGCTGAATTTTAAACTTTTATTCTGAAATTCTCCAAACACAGATCATCAATTAACAGGAAGTTTTGGGATTATCAGCAGATTATCATGAGAAGCTGGCAACCACCAAATTATTTTACACACACCACCACAATGTCTCAAACAGCAACGGGAACAGAAGTGAAATGAGCCTATGGTATAGGAGTCATAATTAGCAACCTCTGAAAGTAATGATCACAGAGTAAAAGGCCAGCTTCCTGGAATGCTCTCCGAAGCTTCCTGTACCACTCTCATGGTGAAAATCTGTACACTTTTCTTACATTCAAATGTTAGCTTCTAACATGAAAAATTTCATTGGAAGAATTCTACTAGTTTGATGTGGATGAAATACATCATTAGGTTACAGAACCCAGTAAAGTAACAGTGCATTTGAGCCCTTACCTGTGCTACTGTTCCCTACATTTCCTTGGTTTCCTATCATCCCTTGGTTACCCATCATTCCTGGCTGAGGTATCACTGAGTAGGGACTATTGTTTCTGATTGGTGGGAAGGGTCCAGCACCAGTTGGGCTTTGCAATGTGATGTCAAGTGGTAAATTCTGGTTTGGCAATAACCTGCCCAGTTGCCCTGGTCGTGGGTTATTAAAAGCTAAGGAGAGAACAGATGAAAATTAAAGGTTAATATCAGGAAACAAAAGTAGTGTTTAGGAAAAATGCTGTCTGTAAAATAACAACAGATATGCATGTCAGAGACCAACTGCCTAAACAAAAGATAAATTCAGACAAAAACAAGCAGTGTCACAGTCTCCCAATCTAATCAACAAACAACTAATTTAATTATTCACATTCTTACAAAAAAAGAAAAAAAGAACATAACATGGTTGTCACTTACCATATATTTTTTCCCAATACTAGTCTCTAATATTCAATTGTATTTGCTAAGTAAACCACTCATATGGTGTTTTTCATGTTACATTATTAGAATTTAGTAGTATTGCTGTCACAGCTATCTGCATACAACACCAAACCCAGAAACATATGGTTTGAATGTTACAATTACATGTCTATACTAGATTTTCCTAGAAGAATTAGGTTCAAGGTGTTGAATTTTAGTGGAAGTGAAAATCTTCAAGTGTAAACTGTTACCTGAAGTAATTATTAATGCTTTAGGACCCTAATCTTTACTCTTCTAAATATAGTTTTTTAGAATTCCAGATACATTTAGATTTGAAATGATTCTTAGGGTTAGTTCCCAAGATTTATTGTGTAATAAGCACTACACTAGTGCACTGTACTATTACATATACAACCAGTAATTTGATATCAATGCTATTTAAATTTTTTTAAAGTATAAAGATATTATAAATTACAATTTATAGCACTAATGTATTAAATAATACCAAGTTTTCACTTTTTCTGAATTATCATATAAACATAGTATGAAATAGAAACTTTAAAAGAAATGGTTCTTCACAATCAATAACAGAAATAAAATATTTAGAAGAATTAGGGCTTGGAATAGAAATGATATACATGCTTATTCAGGGCTTCCTCAGGGCTAGTTATGTGGGTTACCCATCAATAATTTGAACACTATTAGGAGGTACAGATGGAGGAGAAACCATGAGTTCACATGCAGTTTGTCCTTCAATTCCCTTGGATAATGAGCATGAACTTTCTAGTTTGTTTCTCACTCACTTCTCAATTCTTTGACTTGTGCTCTCGCGTGGTCCATAAGTAATCCTCCATTCCCCAAGAAATAGGCAGGTTTGAGAGATAACAGTAAAAGCTCGACTTTGTTTTACCCTTTTTGGGATGATCAGGAATCACTTGAGAAAAGATCTAGTAAATAAATGTACCCTGTGATTTGGTTGATAGGTGCCATTTCTGGTTTGAGAACCAATGCTAAGCTTTGGGCCAAACTGTTTTGGAAGGGGCGGCGGTGGGGGGGCGGGGGGGGGATCATTTCCTCCATTCACCAATGTAACTCTAAGGAGGTTATCTGTCTTCCCTTAAATTATGTCCCTGGATCAGGAAACGTTTTTCTTCCATTCAAACTATTGGGCAACTTGAGGCAACTATCAAGTTTGTAAACTAAGTGTTCATAGTGAAGGTTCATCTTAAACTTACCTAAATAAAATTTAAAATAAAAAGAGTAAAATAAATGATAAAAATGTACTTAAGATAGTCTATCAAACTAACCAAACTTAAAATGCACTTAGAACACATTTGTATGATAAAGTTCCATGTAAAATTGATATTTGTATGAGGATTCCTAAGAGCTAGGAGAAGATGTTTTTAATGTGTGTAGCCCTTTCACATGTAATGATTAAATATTTTGAGAATTTTTAGTAATATATTATTCCTAAAAAGTCAGCATAACTTTCTCATTTCCTACATTTTAAGTGTTCAGTTATATGTTAAAACATAAAATCTATTTAAGCTCCATTTCTGAGGGCAGTAGCTGAAATGCAGGGAACTATGAAGATCATCTAAAGAACTTTATGTATGTGGGTCAGCCAACCTCACTCCATGTTGATTAAATCGACCACAGGGAATGCTGGGAAGCCACGTTCACGAGAATCCACTCTGAATACTGTTGGGAAGTACCAGGACAGTAGATGGTGCTATTTGACCATAAAAACCTTGAAGTGACTAAGCTGTTTGCATCAGATTTTAATAATCCCTGTTTCTGATGATGATTATATGGCATAACCATCAATATCTCATACTCACTGCTCTGGGAAATTCGCAGTGCTGTTTTCTGGGCTCCAACAGGTGTAACCGGGCTGTTTTCAGCTGTGAGTTGCATGAGGTCATTGATGATGGCTTGCTTGTCAACTGATCCAGCAGGGGCGCCAGGCCTCGTGTCTGGGAAAAGCTGTGGTAATTGACTATTCTGCAAATCATCCAAAATCTCCTCCAAGTTGTCCAGCTCGCTGCCAGGCTGCAGTAAACGACAGAAGAATTTATCCTGCCCCACTGTGAGCGTGGGCACCACAGGCCTGCTGGCAATTATAGACCTAGCTGGTCCAAGGCACCCCAGCCAAGTAAAAGATGCAGACACATGCCCACCTCAGGCTCAACAGTCAATTGATCACCTTTTAAAAAATTAAATTGACAAAGAACATATAACTTAATCTCTTGGTCCTGAATTTCCTCCTCTGTAAAAAGAGAGACGGCTAAAATAGAAAGACAGGTCTCTTCCAGCATCATGACTCATTGGCAATTTATAAATTCCCCCTTATTTTGTGCTAGTAATTCAATTAATCGCGAGAATGCATATTTCTAATTAACCAACAACTTACTTCTAATGAACCAACAACTTACAGTCCAGATCTAGGTTTTGTAGTTAATTTCCCTAAGAAATGACAACAGTAATAAATGCTGTTAGAAAATCTGATCCAAATTTACATGTCATCAGTACTTAGTAAATGGTGATTCTCTTTTAGGACTTTTTTAAATTAAAAAATATATTTTTATTGATTTCAGAGAGGAAGGGAGAGGGAGAGATAGAAACATCAATGATGAGAGAGAATCATTGATTAGCTGCCTCCTGCACGCCCCACACTGGGGATTGAGCCCACAACCCAGGCATGTGCCCTGACAGGGAATCAAACCGCGACCTCCTGGTTCCTAGGTGGATGCTCAACCACTGAGCCACGCTGGCCGGGCAGGACTTTTTTTTTTTTAAGAGTAGGGGGAGTAAAACACAAAATCAGCTTGCAGCAACGGCAACCATGACAGCTAAGCACTGCCCTTTCAACTTGACTGGTGGTTTTTCCTGCTTGTACTTTCAGTTTCGAATAACATTGGCTTTCTCATCACTCACCAGCTTAGGTGACAATATGTAGGGAATAAGCAGGATGAAAACAGGTTGTTCCTAGACACAGCACCTATCAACTGACTTCAGAGAAGCCATATCTAATTTCATTTCAGTTACCAGCATAAAAATAATAAGGTAAATATCACCACCATGTTATACTTGGTGGTTTTCTTCCAGCAAGCCCAACTAATTTCCATATTCATTTAAGTAGAACCTACCTATGTGCCAAGTATTTAAAACCAGACAGTGCCAATCACACTAGAAAATGGCTAAGTTACACACGAGGGTTACTGTCTAGTGAAGAAAGTGGTAAGAATGATTTTCTTGATGTGTAGGTGGAAAAACGTAAGTATAAGTTAGGCAATTTCCCCAAAGTCACTGAATGGACTTTGAATCCTTGACCGTGACTAACCCTTTTGTGTACACTGGCAACTCTAATGAAATCGCTTACCTCCAACATGAGGCACAGTTAAGCAGAAGGGCTTACAGTTTTATTCTATGTACAATCCTATCTCCCATGTAGAGGTTGGACTTGTTAATGTTTTTGCAATTTATGGCAAATATAATAGGGATCCATTTTCTTGGGTTACAAGAGGACTTTCTGGTTAGGTTAGCCACTCATTTCTAACAAAAGACAGAAGCACAAACATGAGAGACACATCTCAGGTGAGGTTCCACAGCTGGCACCCTGGACAGTCCCAGGAAGGCACCTCACTGGGTGTCCCCGCCAAGGGCAACAGAGCCGGTGTCTCCTGCTGAGAGGAGGCACGCGGCTGCTTGGCTGAATCCTAAACGGTAACGAAGTTGGACTTGAAAGCCTGGTGCTGCATTTTCACACTATTACAGGCACAGGGAACCAAACCCGGGTGAACTCTGTCACGCACCTCACCATCACTGCATGAGGGCTCATACTCAGCGGGCGGAATGGTGGCAAAACTGCTCACACTATTTAACCATTTAATAGCCGCCTCTTCTTCCTTTCTGAATGCATACAGACGATTTTGTGTAAGTTAGAGGGACATGTAAAGTGAGTCCATTACACATCTATCTGCATCACGTTCTGCTGAATCCGTAAGTATAAAGAGCAGTGTAAACATTTATTGCTCTCCAACAACTGCCTGGAACACAGTAATGGCCACTCCGTCAACCCGATGACTTCTTTTCACTATATTAATCTGTAATCTAAAACATTTCCCCAGGATCAACTACATTTCTTATAGAAATTCCTATAATTTCTCAGAATAAATGATTCATAAAAACGTGTGATATCCTTATAGTGGTGCCATGAAAAAGCTCGAGATTAGCCCTGGCTGCTTTGGCTCAATGGATAGAGCGTCAGCCTGCAGACTGAAGGGTCCTGGGTTTGATTCCAGTCAAGGGTATATGCCCAGGTTGCGGGCTCGAACCCTAGTAGGGGGCATGCAGGAGGAAGCTGATTAATGAGTCTTTCTCATCAGTGATGTTTCTATCTCTCTGTCTCTCTCTTCCTTCCTCTCCGAAATCAATAAAAATAAAAAAAAGCTTGTGATTAGAAGAGGTCCAAACAACCTGTGGCTGCCCTAGGAAACCAAAACCGCCCTGGAAATTGCTGCCTTGTAGAGCACTTCAGAAAGCGGCCCTGGAAGACCATTGACCATTGTGTGCGTGTTCGTGTGCGTGTGTGTGTGCGTGTGCGTGGTGGTGAATGAGGTGACTGTTCTAAGTGATAAAGCTGCTTCTTGAGAAAGCTTTGCAGACTACTTTGGATGAGAAGCATCCAGAATAAATAGGTTCATATAAACAATCATAAAAAATAAATCATTTTCCTCACTGCTATTGTGTAAATAAATATATTGTCCCTCAACCCGATATGTGTAAAGGAAAGTTTTTATACTATCAATTAACAACAGTCTGGGTCTAGGCTCCTGCCTTTTATTTTTACCTTTACTGTTTCCATTAAAATGAAATTATCCTTTAAGCCATCTCAAACAGAAAAATAAAAATCAGGTTTCAAAGACTTCTAGTGACAGAATTCAGGATTCTTCCTTTGTAATCTACTCTTGTGTATAATATAATGAGTTTAAAAGCCATGCAGAAACTTCTTGGTCTTAGAGTCAAAATGAATAGGCTGTAGACATTTAACTACTGACACTATTTGAGTTCATTTAGTGTGCTCTCAGAAAGATACACTATGAAATTTTCCCCATGAGATAATACTGCTTTGCTTGCATTTATTCTTGTCAATTTTTGGAGTACACATTTAATGCTAATCTAATTGTCTTAAGTTTACTTTAAATGTTTCTCTTCAAGGAAATGAAGTTCAAAATGCCTATACTCCTTTGGTTGTTCAGCAATAAAATTGGACAAATATGGCATTTTTTTCTGTAGTCATGCAAGCTTTGGAAGCGATGGATTTGATCACAATAAGTTTCTGATCTAACATTTCCTTCCCTAAATTAAAAAAATTTTTTAAAATTTATTTCTGAGAGAGGAAGGGAGAGAGAGATATATACATCAATGATGAGAGAGAACCATTGATCGGCTGCCTCCTGCACACGCCCTAGTGGGGATGGAGCCTGAAACCCAGGCATGTGCCCTGACCAGGAATTGAACCATGATCTGGTTCATGGGTCGGCGTTCAACCACTGAGCCACACCAGTCTGGCTCCTTCCCAAAATTTTGTAAGCTTTAATTCTCATCCAAAGTTCTTTTAGTCAGCCCCTCTTCACTTTTTAGGCATGATTTCTTCACAAGACAAAAAGATTGATGCCTTCCTTTATAAGGCTTTGCCAAGATACTTCAAAGTTTTGCTTAGGCATCTATTCGAATGCTCAAATTAGCCACATCAATTGAAATAGTTAGTTTAAACTATTTCAGGCAGAAAATGAGTCAGAAAGATTTTCATACAAGTTCTACAAAATGAAAATTGAACATGATTTCTTTAATTTTTCATTTTTCTGGTTTTAAGAATTTTTCATGTCAAATTACTTGTTCTCTGAAGCAAACATAAAGAGTACATGCATTTTAATAACACAAGTATTCTAATAAATTACTAAACATCTTTTCAAAATTTTAAATGAAAAGTGTAATTTTACTATATTTGCGTAAAATAAAATTATTAAAACATGGTAATCTAACTTATCACATTTGAAGGGAAATACAACAGTGTAAGATATAGTTTGCCAGCCTAATGGAACCAAATATAAGAAGAAAAATTTTTTAGACTATTTCTAAACCCTCGTCCTACGTAGCCCAGTAGCATTAGAAAGAACATAAGTTCCATTTGGCGGGGTATCAACGGACTCTATTGTGTAAATAAGTATATAACTTCAAAGTTGGTAAACAAACTGGAAATTTTGCTGTCATTACTTCCTGTTGGTTATGAAGTGCCTAGAAACAAATGTTTAAATACTCTGCCCAGTAAAGAAGACTATTTTAGGTAAAATAGCATCACCGGAATACTTCCTGTCCTAATCAGTTAGTGATCGGTTAAACACACACTCGGGTAATGGCTCTTTGCTGAGTCAAAAGAACAAGACAGTTAACTGCGTACTCAGGTTTGCTAACAGTTTATCTCACTAAATAAAAAACTTGTGTTCCCTTGAAATCAAAGAAAAGTCTCCAATAAATGTGTATTTAATAGGAGATACAAATAATCTGCGTTTGGAATTAGTGAAGGAGAGCAGGAGGAGAAAGAATCACTGTTGTTTTTTTTAAGTCATTTTAACTTTGATCTAAATTTAAGTAACGCATACTTCCTGTGGTAACTTTTCTTTTCAAGTTGCAATGTTTTTGATGTTAAAAGTGCTCTGAAGCAGTATTTTTTGGTGGAGTTTTAAATGGGAGGGGAGAGGAGGTGAGACACAGACTAGGTTTCATTAAGAAAAAATACCGTAGACGTGTGTGTTTGTGTACACTGCCTTGTGGTCTACTGAAATACTAAAAAATTTGTACTGATAACACTCTGGGCTTTGTTCCTTAGGTGGGACAATTTTGATTAGAAAAATGTTCCTCCTAAACAATTAGACACTAAAAGGACTTTTTAAAAAACTTCTTTTTGTCTGAAGTTAAATGCCAAGCAGTGTCCCTCTTCTCCGGCCCTCTAAGTCCTAGGGCCTCAGGCCTGGGACAGAAACAAACGGTGTTTCTGGAAGGAGGGGCCGACCACGGAGCTACTGAGCTAAGGTGGACGTCGCGAGGCACCTGCCCTCTAGCGTGTGTCAAGAGACTTGAGTGACAGTATGCGTGCCTGTCACCCTGAACTGCCACTAGCTCTGTATATTCTAATCTAGTAAACCCCAAAAGATTAAAACATCCACAGCTGTCGGAATGGCCTTACAGCATACTTTAGGTAAGATATTGCTATTAACTTTCCATGGAGCCCTCGGTTTCCCCACCGTATGATTTTACAGCATTACAAAATAGCTGCTATATAGAATTCTGCACTAACATCGAAGTTTAAGGGTTAATTACCAAGAAGGTTTATATTCTTAGGCTGTTTGCCTTGTGAAGGACACAGAGGCTTGGAAATCATCTCTGCCTCACAGGAATGGTAGCAGCTGTCAAGACATCAAAGTGAAAGAAATAAAGGAAGCCAAGTGCTTAGAAACCCGGACAGAGCCCAGCTGCAAGCATGTGCAGCCCCGACTCCCCGAATCCTGCTCTCCATCCAGACCCGCCTGCACAGCTTCTGCTGACTCAGCAGGTTCAAGGCTACACATGGCAGGGGTGCTGCCCTCTCCTCTCCCCATGCACACCTAGTCCCCGAAGACAGTGGCACACATCAGATCCACTTACAAAACAAGTGTCAAGGACAAATTAGCGAACCATTTTAAGTAGAAAAGCCCACGTAGCTCCTTCTCTTCTTAACCATTCACGTCTTACAAGGCGTGAGGCCCAGGGCAGAGCCAGGGATTGGAGGAGTGGAGAGCAGGGTGGGGTCTTGGTTCATTAACCCAGCCGGAAACACCTTATGCCAAGCCACTGTGTCGGTAATAACTTTTTTTTTTAAACAAAGAAAATATTAAATGATTTACACTTTCCTTGTGATGTCATTATGTCCTCAGAGTATTATCAGGAATGATTTTGAATTATCACTTAGCTATCCTGGATTTTTTCAAAGAATTAAATCTTCAGATAAGAACAGCAGATAACACAACCGATTACTTCAGGTTTGCATTTATATATGATGGCTCAGCTCTACTAACATCAAGTCAAACTTGACCTCTCCTTTCTTACTATCCATTGGCCCTTACATACCTTTTATACGGATGGTCTAAGAAATTCTTTAGCGTGAATCAGAAGTTTTGGTTGAGAAGAGAGTTACAATGATTTTCATTAGGTTTGAAAAACCAGTCAAACCCTGATCTTAAAATGAGAAAGGTAAATAAATAACTTAATTCAGTCTGTACTGACAAGGCCCCCACTTTGAGGAAGTGATTATCTCCAATTTCGGCATCGTCTGCTAACAGGGGTCAAACTACAGCTGGCCTGTGGGCCACTCGGGCCACCGCCTGTTTTGTGGGGCCCACGAGCTAAGAATGGATGTCAATCGGGTCAAACTCGAGTATCGGGGCCTGGAGCACAGCACACCGCTTGTGTTCAGTGTCTTTGTCTGCTCTGCACAGACTGTGTAGCCTGCAAAGCCTAAAATATTTACCATTTGGCCCTTTCCAAAAACAGGCAGCCAACCCTGCCCTATGGTAATGTCACTCATTACTAGATAGAGTATTTGGAACTGTTTCAATCAAGTGAGAAAATTAGAGAAAACTTATTTTTGTCTCATCACCTGTGGCCTCAAAATGCCCCTGTGGAGAAAATCCTTAATGGATATGGGTTAGTAGCCGTGGGGAATACACTATAAAACTCACCTGGTCACTAGGCTCAAAGCTCATCTCCTCCTTCTCGGTCTTCATAGCTATTAACTTTGTGTTACTGGCAGGGTCCGTCTTACTGTCCAGCCGCTCAAGTTTGGGGGTTATTTCCGGTAAGCCAATGTCTTTAGTATCATCTTTATCCAGCAAATAGCGAAGTAGTGCATTCTCTTTCTTCTTGGGGCTCACTGGCTCCTGTTTCACAGTCACCTCCGAACCAGGAGCTGTGCTGTTGGCCTCCTGGCTCAGCTCTTTGCCCGTGGCTTCCGCTGTTAACTTAGCCAAGTCCACAGGAGAACTGCTGTCCTGCAGGAGTCTGTGCAAAATCTTATGCTTCTCCTTGAGCGAGGTCCCATGTGTCGACCCGGAACCGGGCAAGCTACCCGCGGAGTCCTTGTTTGTGTCCGACAAAGAGCTGGACAGCGGCGAAGGCTCCATCTGGTCGGATTTGGTGGTCAGCAGCTGGAGGAGTTTGGTCTGTCCTTTGCTGTCATGCAGTCTGTTCTGCCCGTCAGCTCGCTCGCTGCTCACACCCTGGGGTCCACTGGCCTCACTGGTGTCCTTTTGCTCTCCAGGATGGCAGCTGCTCTCTGCCTGGCCAGCTGGGCCTTCTGGGGGCTCCCCATACAGCCCAAAGCAGTCTTTGGAGTCCAAGCTCCCCATCTTGCCGAGTGGGGGAGGATTCATATTCACTGGGGAGTTTTGCAAATTGCCCATTTTTAGGTCCGGCGAAGCCAACGATGACCCCAAAGAGACCCCGTGCCCCTCGCTGAGGGCCTGAAGTGCGTTGAGGGAACTGTTGGTGTAGCTATGGCTATTTCCTGTGCTGCTGCAAACTCCCACGGGGGAATGCAAGCTTCCTGCGGGGGAAAACTGGCTGGGTGGGATTCGGGGGCTTCCAGCCACCCCAGGGCTCATGCGATGTCTCGGTGAAAGCATGGAGGTGGGCTGGCCTGGATTCATGCCAGGGCTGCTCTGTGAGGGACTGTTCATTTTGAGTGCATAGTTACTACCCTGAGGAGTGGTGGCTTGCATGCCCGACACATGGTTCAGTCCCCCGGAACCACCAAACCTGCCCATGGGCATGCTCATTTGCTCCTTGGGGCCGTTTATGGGGAAATTCATATTGCTACCAAGGGCCATGTCCTGACCTGGGTTCGCGCTGCACATGGCCTGATGGGCAGGGCTGCTGGAACTAATTGGATTCAATGGCTTCCCCATTGCTTGTCCAGTCAGATCCGGATTCATTAAACACACATTCTGCTCTCTGTATAATGAGGAAAAAATATAAGATAAAAGGCAAAACACTTAGCAAGTTGTTATTAATTTTGAAAAATGAAATGGCCTCTTTTCTTTAAAAGAATGAGCTATACTTAAAGGAAAGATAATACTTTGATGAAACAATCTGCAATTATGGGCAAGACTGAACATGTTTAGTGTTGGACCAAGAGGGATGTTTTCAGTCAGCTCATTAAGATGTCTGCGGTTTTCCAGAGGAGGGGCGTGTTTAAATCTAACTGCTAGCACACTGAAACTGTAGTTATTAGAGGGGTTCCAATTAATTATATATCTTTCTCACTTAACACTATCTTACCATGAATAACTGAGAACTTGAACAATCCTACAGAAATGACCCAAACAAGTATAGCTGCCTTCAGTTATTTACCAGAGCTCACAATGCCCAACAACAGACACATCTGTAAGTCTGGAGAGCTCTGATGTGGACGAATTGGCTCAAGATGAACAGCAAACTGAGTGGGGAAAACTTGCCCCGAACTATTAGGAACACTACAAGTTCCAGAGCCAATAAAGTTACCAAAACTGTTTAGAATCAGGTCACTTAGACAGAGCCCCACACCCAGGTCCCCTGCATGTCAAAGCAAGAGCCTCCCAAACAGATAGCACGGGAGGGGACTTCCAAGTGCCTTAGTTTGTGACCTGATTCCCCAACTCCTAGATAGCCCCTCCCACCCCCTTACTAATGACCAAAAGCAGGTTTTCTGAGCTGGATGATTTTCCAAGCCCTGTGAGCTTTCATTTACAGCCTTGGCAGTCACTTGTGAGTTACCAAATGTGTTCACAAACCCAAACAAAACAGGTTTCACAAATTGTCAAACATCAGCTTTCAGTTAGGGGGTGAAATCTGGCACATCTGTAATCACTTTCAAATTGTTTCAGTTTGAGGTCAGATTTATTAACAGTTGGCAAACAGAGCTGCCTGATTTTTATTTTTTTTCCAAAATAAGAAAGTAAATAATTGAGAAATGCAATAAAAGGGGATTCTTTCCCAGAGCAACTTTATATATCTTCTGATAGTATCTCATAAAGTTTTATATAGCACGTACATAAATATTTATAGAACTTGAAATGCAATCGTTTTCCTAAATTTGTGCTCTAAAACAGTATGGTTCATGACATTTATTTTTTAAATCAACGTTTAGTTTAGTTTTCATTACTTTCATTTCTTATGGAAATGTTTATCACCCTTTAATTTAAAGTGTAATGTCAAGAATCTAACCCTGAGAAAAATCTAAAATCTTCCTTACAAGTGTATATATTTGACAGTTTTAGGTTTAAACACGCAGGAACAGAAATCATGCTAGTGGCTTCAGTGTTCCTGCCCGGGGGGTGTCACCCCTGGGACCTGGTCAGTTTCCCTTCTCCGATGTAGCAGGCAGTCACGGCAGAGCCAAGTCCGGTGAGCCTGTGTTCTTCCCGCCGGTTTAAATACCCACTAGTACTCAGGCTAGACATAGCCCTACTTAGCTGGTATCATGCAATGTCTTTTGGTTAACAGCAATTTGACTTTACATTTACACACCTGGGCTGATCAGCAGACATGGCTAACAAATCTGAAAGGGTCTGGGATGACTTGTGACTTTTCTAACATCTCCTTTAGCCCGGGAAGGGAAGACAACTTCTTAGAACTAAGCTTACCTGTGAAGCATATGCAAAGATATGACAAGCTGAGGCTCATTAGTAGTCTGAGAACGGATGAGCTTGCTTTTCGTTTGTGCAGCAACAAGAGTGCCGTCGGACAAGGAGAAACGGTAGATCTGACTGAAAGCCAACCCTTGTCTCAGCACTGCGGGCGAGCAAGGAAACAGAACACACGTTAAGGAAGCACATGGGGTGGGGGCGGGACAAGACATAATCCCAGTAATAAACTGCACTATGTTTAATATTTTCCGACCAGCAGTTAGAGTTGTAAGTAATATTTCATGATATTAAAAGAGTGTAAACAATTTATTAGCTCAAAACAAGCTTTTACAATTATTTAAAATGTTAGAAAACAATGCAGAAACATGATACCTCTTAGGTGTACGATCTGCCTTCTATGTCCCTTTAAGCTAATACAAATATAGTGAAATTTAGGACAGTAAATATATTCCCTGAATATTCATCTCAGTTACATACTGTTCAACTCATCATCTCACTCTACTATTCCCCAATTCTGTTTCTCAGTGTGTAAGAAGCATTATTTCTGTGGTTAAATCAACAGGAAGTAAAAGATAAACAATCAGAAAATCTTTTCAGAGGGAAAAAAAAGGCCAAATAGAAAACCAAAACAACAAAAGTACAAATCTTAGTGACATGGAATTGGTTTAAGGTCTTTATAAAGAATCAGATGTTTCTGTTTTCAAGACACTGGCAGAAAATACAACACAGATCAACTAGGTTAAAATAATTTCTCTTAAAATAAAACTTCATGGCTCATCTTTTAATACAACTGTATTTCAAAACTGTCAAATAGTGCATATTAAAAAAAAAGAATATCTCATTTCAGAAAAAGTAGCCATATAATTTAGTTACCTCTTAAGCCATTTTAAGAAGACCATATCTGTTTTTTACCAAGTAACCCTCAGCATAAACTTTGTGGGTGAAAAGCCCCAAAGTGACCAATAACATTCACCATTCCACAAGGACAGAGAGAGGAAGAGAGAGGCTGACACCTGCTATAGATCTGATTTCGTGGTAAAATCTCACTTTGAGCACTTTCCCTAAAGAAACCCGCTCTGCAGTTTGCTACCTGCAGTACTAAGGTCTTACATTCTGGCCTCAACTGTCAGGTGCGTTACTCTGAAGTGGTCCCACTGGAAATGAACTACTGTTCATATGTGTACCTTGCCTTCTACGTAAGTATGTTCCTAAAAGATAGCATAAATACAATTTTTATAGTAAGACTCATATTTCCAATGGCTTATAATTTCAGAATTTAATCTGACCTTGGATGTGATCCTTTAAGTTTCCATTTCCATTTGATCTACATCAAACGTGTTTACTAAGAAGACCGGTGTTAGCATGCACAGGAAGCATTTAGGAAGCTCTCCATTTAAACAAAGCCCTCCAGTAGATTTTTACTCGATGCAAATGATTACCCTTGATCTTACCTACTTTGTACATTTAGATAAAATGTATTTCAGAGTTTCCTTTCAGTGGTTCCTAGCTAATGAAACCTAGCAGAGTGCCGAATACATCTTCTAAACCCCTTTGTGAGGAATCAGGAAGCCACAGAAATTAAATGTAGGACATTGCTACACAGGGCCCAAGGACATGTTTGCTAATGGTGAGCTCTCATTTTTTGCTGTTACTATTCTTTTTATTTTAAACCAGATCTGGTGAAATGGCATTGATTCCTATCAAATATGGCCTTTTTACTTCCTCTTATTATTATTTTTTTGACTTAAAAGAAAAATGCTGGAAGACACAAATTGTTGGAGTATGTGCTTATTTTAGAAGAAGTAACGATAAATAAGATAAAAAGGATAAACAGGATGAGGAAAAACTAAGGGAAAGAAGAGAGGTCATTTGCTATGATTTGTCCGTTTCATCAGCGAGCTTAAGAGCATCAAATTTAAACATATAAACACTACTGGTAAATGCCAAGGTTGCGGATGCCCATGAAACGGAGGATGCCAAACTAAAACTCTACTTGCAATAATGAGTTACAACTTTTCTCTGCAAAACTGCAGACAACTTGCCAAATTGAGTGGCGAGGCACCCTGCCCTGCCCCGGTCCTCACAAGCAGCCTGGCCCCCAGCTGTGGACATAGGTGCCCACAAGGAAGACAAAGCTCTCCTTTGTTCGCATCAATTTAACAAACATCCAGGAAGCCCTTGAGGAAAAGGGATTCTGTGGAAGAACTCTGGGGGCAGCACAGTGGAGTGACGGGCAGGATGGGCCAGATGAACGTCCAGTGCCCACACTTACTACCTGCCCAGGAGCCGCCACCTCACCTGTGCCAGCTGCTGTCTGCAGCAGGAGTCACAGTGCCTGCTTCACAGCGGGCCCGTGAGATAACGGGACGATAACGGACAGTGCCAGACAAGATCAGGTGCTCAATAAGGGCGGCGATTAGCACTGAGACATGACTGAAGTCTTGGGTTTAGTTCCAGCTGTCCTATTAATTAATTTATGATCTCAGGCAAGCCACCTCATCTTTCTGACCCTTCCAGAAACATCTGGGTAGCCTTCAGTGATCAGCATCTGGAAGGAGGGCTAGTCACTTCAATAAAAAATTCACAAATTTCACTTCATTCCTCTTTCCTCCTTACGATTAAGACATTTCTTTTGATATTAGATGGTACCTTATTGTCTTATACATCTAGAAGTCTTAGAATCAAAGACAACGAACTCTTTCCCTTTCCTTTCATCTGCTCCGTGAAATCATCATGTCCAAGTCTATGTCCCTCATCCCACTTTCCTGTCCTATGGCGACCCCCGTGAAAACGTCCTTCAGAAGGCAGGGCTTTCTGGGCATGGCACACACGGACACACAGAGTAGCCAGACCCAAGTCTGCGAGGTGAGCTTCAGAGAAAGCTCCCGCAGGAAATAGGGGTTTAGCAAAATCAAGTTCAAAAAAACTCTCCTTTGGAGGCGCTTACCTTCATGGTGATGCCTCTTGGCATAAGACAGAGACTCCCCCTCGTGCTGGGCATGGAACTTCTGAATGCACCTCCTCACCAGGTCCTCCCAGCCGGGCTTCATGGCGGCCCGCATGGTGCTCGTGTCCAGTGATGTGATCTTGCCTAGTGAATACAGCAAGCATTAGACCTACGTGCTGACCCACTACTATGGAAACAATTAACATTTTAAAAGATGAAAATTTATTTATTTATAGTAGTACATGGACCAAAAGGGCAGATAATGAAAATCACTGTCCCTCCCTGGCCCGTCCTCCAGCTCCTCAGTGAGTCTACCCAGCAGCCACGGGTCCCGGCGTCTGCCACCGTCTAAGCACGTTCCTTGCATGACAAATACGCAAGCATCTAAAATGATTTCTTTGGTCTCCTTTGCAAAGAAAATTTACCTTGGAGATCTTGGCGAGTAGTAAAACTTTCTGATGAGGGAAGAACCGGTCTTTCCTTCATGGGGACTCTCCGTGCCACACAGATCAAGCAGGACTGCAAATCTTCAATCGGAGACACTTAGGGTTATCACATTAGGCCTTTTAGTGATTCAAACAAACTCAAGTGTATTTATGACAGCACAGCTTGTAAATCAACAAGGGAGAGAGTGACAAAACGCCATGTACCTCTGCTTTTCACCGGCTCTATGCTCTCCTCCACTGAAGTGGGAAGCAGCTGGGGAGGGGGAGGGGTGAGCTGTGTAGGATGAGCCGGGGGAGCTGAGGATAAACTGCTGAAGCCACACGATACATGTGATAAAAGAATATCCACCGTCCTAGCGTTAGCAACCTGAAACCGTCCACCCAATGACGGAGAAGAATGGAATCCTTTCTTATGAAACGGCAGACCCTAACAACCAGCTGAATTCATAACAAAGTAGAGAAATGATGAAAACCAAAATCTGACACGCTGCTTTGTCAGGGGTTGCCTCTTGAGTTTCAGGTTTACAACAACAAGGAAAACTAGATATACCTTCTACTAAACTATGTAAATAACCCTATGGTGGCTATATGCAATTTAAAATAAAGAATATGAACTAGGTCTAGACTCAGAATTGGAAAACAAATCCTAGAAAATGCAGCGTGTGCCAAGTTCAGAATCTTGGCCGTGGCTGGTTTCCCACAGAACTGGTGCTAAGTGTTTACTCCACACCCACTGCAACTGTTTTATGCATCTATGTCCACTTCTGGAGAACAGGAAATGTTTCATTCATCTTTGTAACATGCAGAGCGCATGGCATAACCCTTTTCAATTTCAAAAAATGCTGAGTAAAAGGTTGTTAAAAAGAATCTCTTCGTATCTTATGTTAGGAATTTATGATTATTCACCTTTAAATTTAGGAAAAAATTTCTTCAAACATATCCAGTAATAATGGGCATCACAAATTAAATATAATCCTCATCCTTAAGATAATAAACACTACATTTCTGAGCACTTACTATGAGATGGACATCTGTCCAGCTGCTTCTATACGCTACCAATTCATTTAACTCTCTTAACAACTCTTTGAGGTTGGTGATAGCATTACCTCCATTTAACAGAGGAGAAAACCAACCATAAAGTTTAAGTAACATGCTCAGCATCATGCAAAACTTTGGTGAAACCAGGACCTGAACCTGAGCGCACCATGGCTCAGAAACTCTACTCATACTGAGAGCTAGCACCCGGAATCAGATTTCAAATGTCCCAGAATATGTAACTATACCACACCAACACAAAATGAGCTCAGCTATATCTGTTTATACTACTTTTGAATATTATCATAGATGGATGAATCAGCAGTACTTACTCTGTCACATACAAGTGAATAAAATCTTTCGACATTCCATACCTATGTATAAACTTGATTTTGAAGAACTATGTATTGTCTATGACAGCTCTATTACTTCCTAATACAATTTAAATTAAAAATTACATATTTTTTTAAAGGGACTAAATATCTAGACGTAATGCCAATCATGATTCAGGCACAGCCATGTAATCCTTATTACATTCTGACACTGCTACTGTTGACTTCGCTTGATTCTAGAGCAGGGGTGGGCAAACTTTTTGACTCGAGGGCCACAATGGGTTCTTAAACTGGACCGGAGGGCCGGAACAAAAGCATGGATGGAGTGTTTGTGTGAACTAATATAAATTCAAAGTAAACATCATTACATAAAAGGGTACGGTCTTTTTGTTTTTTAGTTTTATTCATTTCAAACGGGCCGGATCCGGCCCGTGGGCCGTAGTTTGCCCACGGCTGTTCTAGAGCAAACTCCTGTTCAGAGAGCTCAGTAGAGCCTAAGAATGATGTTTCTGCCCACGTGGTCCTCAGCTCCCCCTTCTCTACGCATGCAGAACGCACTCTAGGCATGTCTCATATTACAGCGTGACCCTCAGCTGTGAATGGTTTGCCTGGAGGGTGCAGGGGTGGATACTATACACCAGCTTCTCTTTAAGGAGAAGAGCCTAAGAACTTAGAGTCTGAAACCCCCTTCATTCCCCACTTCCATCTGTATCCTCTCTTAAGTATCACTGTGGATCCAGCATCTATGGATAAACTATATGGAATCCACTAATCCCTTGAAGTACAGTTGACCCTTACACAACACCAGTTTCCCCTGCACAGGCCCAACTTAGACATGGATTATTTTTCAATAAATACATATAGTACTGTAAACTTATTTTTTCTTCCTATGGTTTTCTTAATAGCATTTTCTTTTCTCTAGCTCACTTTATTGCAAGGATATAATCCAAGCAATATACAATTATGTGCTAATTGACTATTATCGGTAAGGCTTCTGATCAACACTAGGCTATTAATTAAAACTGTTTTTGGAACGTCGAAAGTTATACGTGGAGTTTTGATGATGCAGGGATTAGCGCCTCAACCACCGAATGGTTCAAGGGTCCACTGTACATGAAAATGCTCTCTGTACCATGTGCACTTTTCTAGGCTGTGGCTCACAGCTCGCAGCAGCTCATCCCAGGAGTCCAGGCTCCCCCAGAGGTTCAGCCACTAACAGGGCAGCCATTAGCCACACCTGGCTATTTAATGTAAATTTAATAAAAGAGAAAAACTCAGTCTCCCAATCGCATTTCAAATGCTCAATAGCCACATGTAGTTAATGGCTGCTATGCTGGACATTGATGATACAAAACAATGCCGTCACTGCAGAAAAGTCTATTGAGTTGTTTTAAAGACTTACAAATAAAATTTATCATAAAAATTCTTAAGTAGGTGGAAAAAACAAACAAAAAAGACATCTCTAAATTTTTCTTTGTGTGGCCACTAATTTTATATTATTAAGTGTGGAAGAAGCAGCATAGTAATAAATACACGAATATATAAAATATACTAGAGATTTCATCCTACCTTCTCCTTCTTCCTTGATGGACTTTGGTTGAGAGACAGCAAAGCACTGCATAGTTTCATATTTTTGATGTGCTTCCTGGTTATCATGACCTTCCTCTTCAGACTCAGGCAAAGGTTTCACCAGCATCCGACAATTGAACGTATGGCTGTTGCGCCTGGGAGGTTCGCCAGACCAAGATCCCCCGTTCACTGAGCAAGGCAAAGAAATCCGAAATTATAAAGAAACCAACGTGAGACTCACCACTGCCAAATTATCAAAATATACAGGAAGCATAGAGTCATTTTATTTTTATATAGCGCTTATCCTTTTCTATTGTAATTTCATAATCTGGAGGGGAAACATTCTTGGGTAAATGTTTCATCTTGGGAAAATTCCACGAATTCTCAGAATGTCTTTTTACCCTTCCCTTCAAGTTCAGATCTTGACTATTTATTAACAGAATACTATAGTTCTCCATTTTGAGGTTTTTCTAACTTTGATTTCTTGGAAATTTATTTGAATCTACTTGCATTCCAATTTTACATGTTGCCCCTACTCAAAAATCTGTAAGTGGTACCAACTATAGCATGCATTAAAATTTTTTAAAAATTGATTTTAGAGAGAGAAAGGGAGAGGGAGAGAGAGATAAACATCTCTCTCCTGTATGTACCCTGATGGGGGATTGAATCCAAAACCTGGTTCACTTTTAGCCAGCCAGCATGGCTCAGTGCTTGAGCATCAACCTATGAACCAGGAAGTCACAGTTCAATCCCCAGGTTTTGGGCTTGATCCCCAGTAGGGGTTGTGCAGAAGGCAGCCAATCACTGATTCTCTCTCATCACTGATGTTTCTATCTCCCTCTCCCTTCCTCTCTGAAATCAGTAATAATATATTTAAAAAGAAAAAGTCACTGGTTAGAAAGCACTGAACGGGCCAACTAGATGTCATGGGTGTTTCGGCGAATGCGATGTTAATCCTACAGCCACTGGGCTGTAAAGGAGTAAAAAAGGAAACGCATGCTAGAGAGAAAAAGGCAATTACCAAGTTAACGGCAAGAAACCATTTTAGAATTACAGAAGGAACCAGAGCTAACTTTATACGTCGATGCAGACATTTGAGAAGTCAATTTCATCACCAGCATTCTTACAAGCTTATTTACATAATGAGGACTACACAGAGTAATCAAAGGAAAAGGAGCTCTTATTAACTCAGGTTAATAAGTAATTTGAAAGTATAAAAAATACAATATAAAGTAAGGCAAGGAACTCCTTAGACAAGTGTATTAATAATAGTGAATTAATAAGTATAGGTCCTTTGAGGAAGTCATAAAATTACTGAAGAGATTTGAAAATATTAGTTACTTGAAATAAAAAATCCCATTTACTAGACAATATAATAGAAGAATCTCACACTAGTATTCATATATTCTGTATTACTCTTGCAAGTCACTTTGAATAAGGGGTTATCATATCAGGGAAAGGCCAGCCGTAATGGAATTTGAAAAGACCTTTGCCTATTTACTGTGGTAGCGATAAAACCAGTTAATATAAACAGTCTTAAGAAAAAGAACAGAAATACTTGCTAACTCAGGACTTGACCTTATTCTCTCTTAAAATATGCACTTCTTTTTCTCCGTGAAGATGTTCGTAGCATCATCAGTTTAAGTGAGAATATTTAAAAAAGAACCACTTAGTAAGCGGGAACAGCCATACTCCAGAGCAGCAAATAGAGTGGGCCCACGCTGTGAACCACCCAGTTTAATATGGGCCTTAATGATCACCAACAGCGCAGGTGAGGAAGCAGGAGTTGGGCACAGGGAGGGGCTAAGGAGGCAGTACCTGATGGAGACACCTGCTGGGCCGCTGCATCTGTGAAATGGAAGAGCCCATTTGGAGCTCTGGGGCTGAGAGCATGCGAGCCCTCGACACCCACTCGTTTCTGAACATCTTACTTTTAGAAAACTGTACGCACCCACGTCCAGACTTTTTTTTACCAGTCGGACTTGAAATAGGTTGAATCTCAAACTTCTCATGACCTTCTACTTCTTAGACAGTCATGGAGAAAAGGACAACATAGTCGCTGGCACTGGGTAGAGTGGGAGGCAATTTGGCAGCTTCTTAAATAACAACAACAAAACAAACCCCATGAAAACAGTTGCCATGAGTACTTGCCAGCGGAATTATTTTCATGTACTTTAAATATAGGACCGAAACGGTCAATCAAGATCCATGTCTGCCGATGTCCTTTTCTCCATGGCTCCTAAGCTTCAATATTAACACAGCACCTCTAGACGCCCCGGTGACACATTCCAGTTCTCTCTCAGCCCTCTAACCGGGACGATGTGTGCACTGGGGGAGGGCAGGGGAGTGAGGAGAGACCCAGCAGACAATCCTTTACCTATAGACTTTGGCAGCAGGTTTTTGACAAATTCAGTGTGGTCCCCAACATGCAGGATGCTATATACACTTTTGTTCATCAGCTCCTCTTGGTTATACCTTAGGTACTGTGTCACATTCTCTGAGACAAACACAACGTTGCCTTCCAGGTTCACTACAAAGAAGAACCCATCAAGGGCCTGAGGGAAAAGACATGGATTGTGTTAGAAAAGATACGACATAGAACCATATGCAATTGTTAAGAAGGGAATGATCTTTTAAGGGAAATACATAATTCACACATGGCTAGAAAAGCGATCTCTCTCGCCCTCTCCTAGTTTTCAGAAACAACGTTTTCTGTTGGTGAAATTACTTCATCTTAGTAGGTGGGAGAGAGCCCAGATCAGGTTGCTTGTCACAAACTAAATGACAAACACTCACTCCGGTAATTTACCAGGAGGTAATTATTGCCAAGTAAAACTACAGGTACTTATCTGTATTTTCAAAATGAGGTGGCGCTATTCCAGAGGGCCAACAAGTTTGTGACCAACCCAATACAAAGTAATGTTGTACAGTCTCCCAATACAACGGAAGGGGTCACTGATAATTCCCCCCCAATTTAAGGATAAATGCCAAGAATCACCCCAACCCCCAATTTTACTACCTTTAAAGCTACCGGGTTTAAATGGAAAGAATTGCAGATGATCTCAGACCTTTGGAGAAACATCAGTCTTTTACTGTTTGACGTACATGGGGACAGAGTCTGAGCAATCTCTCTGATGTGACAAACCAGTCTTTGTCGGAACCTTAGGCATAGATGTGGCTGGCACTGTCCTGAGACATGAGGCTCTGGTTTGTGACAGTGAGAACTGAAAGTTAACTGGTCCGTCTACGGGATGCAGGCTCCTACATCACCTAGATAACAGTAGCATTTTTCCTGTAATGGGTACATAGCCTTAGTCTTCCTTGTCATTCCAATCTAGATTAGGGAAGGAGATGAGGAATCTAGGATCATTTCAGGAAATAAAGATAGTAACGGTAGCTAGTGAGCATGTTTCCTGTGCCTTAAACACACTCCCATTTTACTATTACAGCTCTGGAGGGAGCTGACAGGCGGGCGGGAGTTAGTGCAGGAGCGCCTGCCTCCAGAGCTGTGCCTGGATGACGACAGTGAGAGTGCTCTACCCCGCGCTCACCCCAGGCCCTTTCCCAGCGTGTCTCCTCAGTGCTGGGAGCTCAGTGAGTTTCCCTTCCTGAGCCCTGCTGGTCAGAGCTGTCAGGTGAGTGATCAGGACTAGAGAAGGCTTGATATTGATAGGCATCCCTGGAGAAACACCCCCTGGTCTACCCAGTTGATGCCATACACTTTCTCCATGCTATGCGTTTACGACTGTTTTCAACACGAATATTACATGTACATATTGGTATAGTATGTATGTATGGGGCAATGCTTACTTTTCCCCTAGGTGTTTTTTTTCCTTGTTATTATTTTACAGGCTCATATTTTGTGAGTATTCTTTAAGTATATTCCAGCTTTAATTCAATTTTTATCACAAAACTAAGAGCTCTCTCAAATTAGAACTTACCAATGGTATAAGCAATATGCTGGGGCAAAGAAAAACTATATGTAAATGGCCTTCCAGAATAGGTTGGCACCAACCCTGGAAAACCCTGTGTGTGTGTGTGTGTGTGTGTGTGTGTGTACAACCATGTGTGTCTGTGAGGGGGGACAGGAAGTCAGCTGATTACTTATGTACCAAGTGTCCTTTTAAGCTCATCGCTTTAGATACAAATTCATCAGGGATTTTCATAATTGCATTATGTAGAGTTCACTTTCAAAAGTGCGTGTAGCTTCCTTTTGCTTTTGTACTCTGGCAGAAAGACTGATATGTGGCTTAATATAACTGAAAGAGGAAAATGTTTCATCTTGTAGAACTGTCTGTGTTGTTTTTAAAAGCTCACTACGAAATGCTCTGATGAAAAAAGCTGACATTGGGTTTTGTTGCCTAGCAACCACTACGCTATGATGTAAGCATGAGTGTGCATCTATGCCTAGGAACAGCTCGACAAGAACAAGTTTTCTCTGTTTAAATTATAATGACATGCTAACAGAGATGAAGACTGAGATCCAAACGCTAAGTCACCAGATTCAAGCATTACCTCTCGAACAGATTCAGCAGTAACGCCCAGCCACACTGGGATTTGCTCAGTGCACTGGATTTCAGAAGACTATTTTGAAACAGCAAAAATGTGGTTTACTTTTATGAGATAAGGCCCACGGACATCTAGCAATCTGATTTCTACACTTAATGAAGGTGCTCTCAAAGGGTTTGAGTCACAGCCTTGTGGTTACTCTAAGCATTTCTTTTTAGCAGCTCAGAAATTTTCCCAGGAGTTCCCACCCTACCTTAATTTTTGTCTTCTGATATAAAGAATAAACACAGACATATGAAAGTTTCCTAATTATAATAACTTGGATTACTATAATTTCAAATCAATTTTATTTGTAATCCAAGATGTTTTTCACAGAAGTTATCTCCTTTCTTTCGTCTAATTCTAAACAGTCCACCTAGAATTTTCTTATTTGCTTCTAAGAACCAAGCGGGAAGCCGCTCTCTGGCCTTTCCTTGCCTGTTGACTCTGGAAAAGCAAGTTCAATGTTTTTGCTTTTTCCCTGAAAATTGTAGTTGGAGGATTTCAAGCCAGTGAATCAAGAGAAACAAGCAAGGGCCAACATGGGTCACTTAGAGTCTTTTGGCAGCAGGTCCGGCCCCAGAGAATGAACTTAGTCATTTCTAAATACTACAAAGACTGCGCCAGACAATCTTATATATATTTTTTCTGTGCCCACCCCCCACCTTCCAATTATATGGTAGATATTCACAGAATTCAATTTTCTAAAAGTAAAAATCATCTTATGAACCAATTGAAAAAAAAGGAGTGATTACTGGTTATCTTTGCATTAAAAATCCCAATTTCTTATATGTATGTGGCTGCTGCGAAGCTTCTGGGCATGTGGCGCTTTTCAATCTCATCCTATCAGCAGAGAATTATCCTGAGAACTGACATAATTTATGTCTCAGGGCCCCTCTGCTTCTTGTGATATGTTTGCTGCTATTTCCCCCTCATCTTACCATAGCCTACATCTTGAATGTAATTCTGGAATAGGTACAGCACAGTACTGGGTGTTAAATACTGTGCTAGTTAATAAAATAGGAAAGCTGGACTTTACAAATTCTAGACAGCAGTCTGATCATAAAACTCCCTCAAGTTAATAAAGAGCAAGCAGTTAAGACCAACCATTACAATTGTGATCCTTATCTGAAAAGTTCTGCCTATTCAGTTTTTATCTTTATGAGATAAACAAGTCTGAAGTTGCCTAAATAGAAAGCATAAACCCTTTTCTGGCTCTCAAATTTTAACCTGTATATATATATATATATGGCATATGTATATGACATACATAAAATCTAAGAATTTGGGGAAAATTTCAAACTGAAATATATCAGAATTTAACAGGAATTGTGAACATGATTTTCCAAAATGAATGCTCAACTGGCAGTGAAAGCCTGTTAATTTATATTCTGGTCTAGTCACTTTCATTCTAGATCATTCATTTGAAATGTAGAACTGCTGGAATCTGGAGCCAGAAGAGAGAGAGACATGTTAATAAACCCAAGAGGTAAGCAGTACTTTGATCTCAGGAGTGAAAATTAACTGCATTATCCTTAAACTAGGTTCACCTGAAAACGAATGTAATCATGTGAAAAGATGGACAACATTGTAAACTACAGAACCAAACGAGGTGTGCTACCTCCAGCATCATGGGCCCCAGCGCATCCTTGTCGATGACACCCTGCCCCGTGGATGACACGTCTGACTTCTGCACCTCGTCTATGTTGGCAGCCGCTGCTTTCTCTGCAACAAACGTAAGTGTGAATTAAATGGCAGTGCGATTTCAAGGACAGAGTGACACAGAAACATTTTTATTGTAATGACTTTTAGGTCTCCAGCGGGATCAGATATGACTGTAAAAGAGTTGGAGCACATCCCCACTGGCCCTGAACGCGAGAAGCTGCTGAAGCAGGAGCCAGAACACTCACTCTTCGCCTCCAGAACCTGCAGCTCAGCTCCCTCTCAGGCTGCCGAGGAAATGAGTTTAGTGGCTTTATACTAGTCCCCGAAAAGCGTTTTTTCTAGTTTATGAAATTGCTATGTCCTATGACACAATCACTTTCTACTCAAGAGATTCCCCAAACTAGGAAGACGGAGGGTCTGCTGTTCCGAATTCAGTAGCACAGTCACCTGCACACATCTGAAGAAGGAACAGAGAGGCGTCTAACCTGCTAGGGCTGCTCGCTTGTGACACTCTAGAACAGCGGTTCTCAACCTGTGGGTTGCGACCCCTTTGGGGGTCGAACAACCCTTTCACAGGGTCGCCTAAGAGCATCGGAAAACACACATATAATTACATATTGTTTTTGTGATTAATCACTATGCTTTAATTATGTTCAATTTGTAACAATGAAATTGGGGGTCACCACAACATGAGGAACTGTATTAAAGGGTCACGGCATTAGGAAGGTTGAGAACCACTGCTCTAGAATGACCACCTTGACTCCTGTCCTGCTCCACCTCTTGTCACATTCACATTTAAAGTAACCAGAAAGATTTGGTCCCTGTTTTGTAGAAGGTGCTTAGCTGCTTAAGGCAGAGAGGCAAGGCATCCTACCAGGCACCCAGAGAATTCCAGTGGCCGCCCACCCTTTCATCTGGTACAGAGGTGAATACCATGTGCTCCTGGATTAAAATGTGCAAGGCAGCCTTCAGGCCCGGAAAACATTCCAACATGGAAAATTCTCCCCGAAGAAACAGATGCATATTTGTCAATACACATCTTACAGTTGTCTCAAGAACACCCAAAGAGGTTTAAAGCATAGCAGATACATATCGGCAACTTGTTAGAAAACAACACAGAAACCATGTACCAATTATCTGTACCTGAATAAATTATATCCTTGTTTACACTGCATGTTATCACTGCAATTAAATGCAAATAAAGGAAACCGTAAATCAATTTAGTACTCAGAATCAACCTGCTTTCATGATCTTGGTAAATTTTGCTGCCTCTTTTATTACTACTATTATTTTTTGTAAAAAGGTATTTTACACAGTATTTTGGAAACCTGTAAAGTTTAATTTGCACATGAGAACCTAGAAAATAAAGTTAGGGAAATTACGCAGGTGCTGCGAATCTTGCCACTCTTGTGATGAGAGCCCCCGAGTGTATCTTTCCCAGTGGAACGGAGATGACCTGTGTAGTTCAAGTCTGAGCCCAGCCACTTAGCAGAAGTAGGAGACAGAGCAAGTCACGTCAAGTTTTTAAGACCTAATACGTGCCTTCTATACATATAAACTTCGACAGAAGTGAATGGGATGATATGTAAAACACACTTGAAAAACTATCAAGTACCCTGGCCAGTGTGTCTCAGTTGGTTGGGCATCAGCCTGTGCACTGAAAGGTTGCTGGTTTGATTCCCTGTCAGGGCACTTGGGCTCAACCTCCAGTAGGGGGCGTGCAGGAGGCAGCAAATCAATGTTTCACTCACATGGATGCTTCTCTTTCTTTCCCTCTCCCTTCCTCTCTCTCTAAAAATCAATAAAAATATTTTTAAAAAAATCTGTAGAGTTAACAAATGGAACTTGCTACTAGCATAGTTGTAATTATTGGCTCCTCCTTACTAAATTCCAAGCCAAGAGCTTGTCATAAACAGACTGTATCTGCTTTTCAGTTACGCTACATTCCTGACTCACCTCCTCAGATCTAATTGTAACCTCCTCAGCTATAAACACAGATATGACTCGTCTGGTGGCCTTTATAACTCGGGACTGTATGCATTTGTCAGTCTTCACTTCGTGTTTCCTTCTTGCTGCCTTCCTGACCTAGCTCTTGACTGTTAGGTTCCTCAACATTTGTCCTATCTGCAGGCTTAGTCTCAGCCCAATTTAGGAACGAAATAGCTCAGGCTCTCCAGAAAATTACTGCATATGACACCCCCATTCCCAGTTTCCTAGAACCCCAATAAATGCATATTGGGGCATACTTTTTTTTTTTTTTTTGGCCAGTTCACTTGGTAAAGCTATAGATTTCTCATCACTTTCTGCTCACTTTCCTACCCACCAGTCCAGGGACAAGACTGGTACCATCACCTGTGGCTTCATCTAAATGTTCACCTATAGTAGTTTCACTTTCTGTGGTTTCAGTTACTCAGTCAACAATGGTCTGAAAATATTAAATTAAAGTTCCAGAAATAAATAATTCGTAAGTTTTAAACTGTGCACCGTTCTGAGCAGGGTGATGAAATCTCACACTGTCCTCCCCGCCTCCCCCCGTTAATCATCCCTTTGCCCAGTATCTGCATGCTGTAGGCGCTCCCACCCACCAGTCACCTAGTAGTCATCTCGGTTATCAATCAACTGTTGCAACATCATGGTGCTTGTGTTCCAGTTACCCTGATTTTATCAAAACTCAAGAGTAGTAATGCTGGCAATGCAAATATGCCAAAGAGAAGCCGTAAAGTGCTTCCTTTAAGTGGAAAGGGGAGTATAGCACAATAACATATTTTGAGAGAGATCGATCAATTCATATAACGTTTATTATAGTATATTTTTACAACTGTTCTATTTCATCATGTTATTATTAATCTCTTACTGTGCCTAATTTATAAATTAAACTTTATAATAGGTAGGTATGTATAGGAAGAAACAGTGTATGTGGGGTTCTGTACTATCCTCGGTTTCAGGCATCCACTGGGGGTCTTGGAATGTGTGTGATCGGAGGGGAACTACTGTAATTTAACAGCCCTGTATTTCAGAGGGCCCAGCAGGCTTCGGATCTAAGGATCCCTGATACTAAATACCAACTCTCAAAGCCCATATAATAGACATTATATATTTATGTGGTCCTGTGGTATTTCTACTTATTTTTGTCTCTAGTCGTGTGGCAGCCGGTGTATAGGAGCATGTGCTACAACATCCTGGAGAGTGAGTAACTCACAGCCTTTCCCCTGCCTCTTAACTGCTCACAGGGGCCTCCCCCTCCCCTCAGTGACACCTTTTGGCGGCAGCAGTGATTCTCACCTAGAACGGTGTAGGTGAGAGGACCTCCCCAGAGAGGGTCCGGCAGAATTTGCAGATAGGAGAGGCCTTTGCATGAGATTCTGATCCATCTTCCTCAGAGGGAATCCTGGTTTCCCCACCTCCTGCAGTGAGCAGCTCAGTGCATGAAATAGTGTACTATCCCCACCAGAGGTAAGTTTCAGGGAGGGGAGCTGTTTAGTACCCACAGTGGCCAGCACTGTCCTTCAGAAGCCTATATTTGGTGGCTGACTGACAGACTAGACCCACTGCTGTCACTTATTCCCAGAAATGTAGAGGTGACTGGCATTGAGGGTGGGTGGAAAAAGAGACTGATTTTTTCTAACTTTAGGCCCACTGGCCCCCAGGGTGCGGGGAATGGAACACCTGGGCGGGTCAATATTGGGAAAAAGGACTTCCTGAGAAGAACAGTCTTAAATAACAAACCATCAGGTAAGGGACAGAGCATCTCCTATTCTCTCAGGTCCCACGTTCTTTTGTCCTTCCACTGGCACAACTGGTGGTGTTATTCTTTTAAAAGAATGGACTTAATTTAGGTTAATGTTGGGAAGAGTGAGATAGGAAGCAACACAAACTCCCCACCTGTCGCTGAGCCCTAGAAAACGTCAGGCCATTTGTCATACGAGATTCTGATATCACAACATAAGGAGTTATTGCTTTCTGTGGTGTCTATAATAATGCTATAATTTAGGGAAAAATAAACAACATTTGTGACAGTCTATTTCCAAGTTTCTTACAATCAATACCTTGCTAGATGTTTACATTTTGAGGTTCTGATCATCATTCTGAAGACACAAGTCTCCTGAATTGATTCATTAATATTTTGTGCAATTTTAAAACACAAACTTATAAAACCCAATCAAGCAGGTTCCTAAACACTGATAAGCTTTCACGCTGGGGTATTTTAAATATACTAGCAACACGTGCAGACTCTGAATTTTAGATTTTTATCCGAAAATATGTAGAATGAGAATCGTATCTGTAGGGCATTTTCTTTTATTTTTAGGAATCTACAGGTCAGATATAATTTAAAGTGAGAGTCTAAAATTTAAAGCAGGAGATGACTTAGGTCCGACAAAACATGTGTTTGGACTTTACTGGAAAGACTACATAAAAACAATTATTGTGAATAATTATTAATAATAAAAAATATTTTCTCTTTATAATATTCAGCTGCTAAATCTTTAAAAGGAGAAAAGAAGCAGCTAACAAGATGCACCCTTGAAACGTATATAATCCCATTAACACAATAAATTTAATAAAAAATGAAAATATAAAATTATATATTTTTTTAATTTAAAAATATATTTTTATTGATTTCAGAGGGAAAAGGAGACGGAGTGAGAGATAGAAACATCAACGATGAGAGGGAATCATTGACAGCTGCCTCCTGCAGACCCCCTATTGGGGATCAGCTGGCAACCTGGGAATGTGCCCTGACTGGGAGTCAAACGGTGACCTCCTGGTTCATAGGTTGATGCTCAACTACTGAGCCATACCAGCTGGGCATAAAATTATATTTTAATTAAAAATAAAAAAATTACTGAGCATGGCACTGAAAGAAATAATAATTAATAAATTAATTATACAGAGTAAAAAAAAAACAACAGTTAGAGAGAATGGAGGCCACCATGAGGAAGGAAATCAACCAGTAGCATCAGGATCCGTTCAGTTCTACGGTCTCTGCCTGTACCTGGGGTGACCTGCTACACGTGCAAATGGAATGAATAATTCTTGTCAAGTGAGAGACTGAGATCAAT